ACATGGACAGGAAGGTAAAGAGTAAGGGCAGGCACATTTTTGTGGGAGAATTAATGAAAGTAAGTTAACATAAAATCTGTTCAGTTGATTTATTTCTTCATTCAACTAATATTTATCATGCTCCCACTCTATGTCAAGTACTGTCCTGTCTACTGGGCATACAACAGTGAGAAAAACCAAATACAGACTACTGTCATTGGTAAAGACCTATGCCTTATACAACTTGCATAAATATAGAGATGAAAACGGTTCATGTACAACAATTTCAGGTGGGCGCCTGGGTGGCTCAGTTGGTTAATTTACTGCCTTAGGCTCAGGTCATGATCCTGGAGTCCTGGGATGGAGTCCTGCATCTGGCTCCCTGCTTGGCAGGGAGTCTGCTTCTCCCTCTGACCCTCCCCCCCTCATGCTCTCTCTCTCTCAAATAAATAAATAAAATCTTTAAAAAAAATAACTTCAGGTAAGTATTGAGATAGTAATAAACCAATGGCATTTTCATAGAGCCCAGTGGAAGGTCATTTCTGCTGGTAGCTGATATAGGGGTTAACACTGATAGTGTAGTGAAACATAATTATGTTTATGGTCTTTCTAGATGTCAAAGAACCAAAGCTTGGATTGGAATTTCTGAGTAAATTTCATGTTTCATAACTCATAATATGTGACCTAATGTAGCTTCTCAGAACAGATGCATTACTCCATTGCATTGATGAACATTTGGTCATTTTCAGGAGAAAGAAAAGAATGCCTAATTTAAATTCGTCCAATTTGATTTGGTATTACTCTGATCCCAGCCTGGCTCTGGTATAATCACACCCTCCGAGCCTTGGCTATACCACATGTGAGGTTAAGAGCAATTGCCTACCCTAAATCTATGCCATGAACCTTACTTATTTCCACATTAATATAGCTGGCTCCTCTGGATATGTTTTCTGTACATCCACTCATCTCTTCTTGGGTGCTGGTGGGGCTTATTACCATTATAGTAATTAGTAGTATAATAAATACATGTTTAAAATTGCTTTTCAGATATTTTGAGTCATAATAGGACATATGCTAAGTTCTATACATAGATTATTGGCATTTATAGCTACTATGCACCCATTTAAAATAAATGACTAACTAGGAAGTAATAGTAAATACACTTTAATGTAACTTTCCTGGATAATCTGAATTAGAAGTTCTAACAAAGTAAATAACAAATCGCTAAAATCTTTTTGAGAAATCTGACAAGAATCAGCATGATTTTTAATGATATGAAAAAGAAAATGAGTAGGTATTCTAAAAATAATTTGAAACTCTTGTTTTTTTAAATTTCATTTATCCATATATGTGATATTAGTACTAAGTCTATTTATGATCAGTTATGGAGCTCTAAGATGACCAAAATGTTCAAACACAACTGATGAATTTCATGATAGTAAAATGAAAGTGAACATTAATTATATATACTAATAGTCTAATCTGAAACAGCATTTCCCTTACTGTGATTTTATTTTATTGTTTTTTAAAAAGATTTTATTTATTTATTTGACAGAGAGAGCACCCACACACAGGGGGCAGCAGGCAGAGGGAGAGGGAGAAGCAGGCTCCCCACCGAGCAGGGAGACTGATGCGGGCCTCGATCCCAGTGCCCTAGGATTATGACCTGAGCCGAAGGCAGGCGCTTAACCGACTGAGCCACCCAGGCGCCCCCCCTTGCTGTGATTTGAGTAGATATTTAAAAACAAAAACAGTTCCAGTGGTCAAATTAGTTTGGGAAACATTGATCAAGAATATTTATTTGGTAGGAGGTTGGGCAAAATGGCTGAAAGAGAGTATGAGATACAAGCTTCCAGTTATAGAATGAATAAGTCACAGGAATAAAAGGCACAGCATAAGGAACGTAGTGATATTGTAATAGCGATGTATGGGGACAGATGGTAACTATGCTCACGGTGAACATAGCATAATGAATGTATACACTTGTTGAATCACTATGCTGTACACCTGAAACTAATATAACATTGTATGTCAACTATATTCAGATTTTTTAAAAAGGAAAAAATATGGAAAGAATACTGATAAGTTATGAAAATAGCAAAAGCTAACATTTATTCACTGATTACCATGTGCCAAGCATAGAGCTTGATGTTTCATTTCAATTAGCTCACTTAATTTAACCTTCTATAGAAATGAAGATTAACTACTATGAATTTCTCAATTAAGCATAATTGCAAGTAAGGAAAATTATATGCAAGGATATTTAAAGAGGAAAATCTATTATGTAACTCATTAGCCATAATCAAAGCATAACTTATGCTAGACAAAAAAGTAAATAAATAAAAGCAAATAAATAAACCACCAAGGTTATATTTATTTATTGAATTAATATAAAAAAAAGTTTTCTAAAAAGAAATTATCTAAGAAGGTATTTTTTGTATTCACTAAATCGAAAATTTTTTTCATCTGTATGTTCAGGATTGTGTAGACATAAATATGTCTCAAAGGAAAGTAATTTCCACTGCAAATAGTGTTAGAATTTCCCCTTAACTATATTAGAAACAGATTGCAATTTACTTTTAGAAGAGTTAAGTAAAATTTAATTAAAATATTTCACAAGTATTCTAATGTTATTGTAGTAAAATGGTCTTTTATTCATTGAATAGCAATTATAAAATCAGTGGTAAATATTTTACAAAAGACCATTTAATTAAATAGAAGAACTTTTATTATGAATAACTGTATGGCATGTACAACCTTACTTAGAATTCAAAGAAAATGTGAGAAGATGAATATCTTAAAAAACAGAATAACTTAGTGTTATTATTTAGTCTATAGTTGCAAAAGGGTTCACCAGCCAACTGCATTCTTATAGCCACCAGAATAATTTTTAGTAAATGAAGAAAATAATTCAGGGTCTTAATCAAGCATATGGAGCATATATTACTTCAGTATGAATCAGTTAAAATAGCTGAAGATGCTATTATCCAGTTGGTCAATTAACTCTTATCACACGGCTGTACATTTATGTAATTACAAGCTTATAGAGCATGTTGAGTCTCAAATTTCAAAAGCCAGTGTGGTAGGACTGGAAGTATTATCACCATTTTCTAGTCCAGTCCTTATAATAGCACAGGTGAACAAGCTGTGATGACAGGATTGACTTACTAAAGCCCTGCAGGATATTAGCAGCAGAATGATCCTGTAAAAAAGAGGGCATAAATCTCACCCAACCACCCTCCATTCATCCATCCTCCATTCTTCATTTCATGTATTCATTCATTCAACAAACAGTAATTAAATGCCTATTATGTTCTAGATACTAGGGATGTGATGGTGAGCAAAACTAGACACGGTCCCTGGCCTTACGGTGACTATTTTGAGAATACAGTGGAAGATGGAGAAATATTAATAAAATAATCACTCAAATACATACAAGATTACAAATCAAGACAAATTCTTTTTAAAAAAAGAATATGGTCTGTGGTAATGTATAATAAAGGAACCAGATCTAAGCCAGGGGGCCAGAAGGGGTTTCCCAGAGGAGTGTCTTTTATATTAAGCATTAGAGCGTGAATAGAAGGAATGAGAGGGGAGAAGATGGAGAAAGGAGGAGAGGCCCTGGAGAAAGAAATGAGCATCTGAAGAACAGAAAACCCTGTATGTTTGGAATCTAAAAAGTAATGAGAGAGAGAGGCAAGAAGAGCCAGGAGGGCCATTCCAGACCAGCTAAGGGCCTACAGGTCGGACGAACATTTTTGGTCTTTGTCCCAAGAGTTATGGAAAGCTATGCGAGAGTTTAGCAGGAGGATAAAGTTATAGCTCTCATCTTCAACAGTTTTATTTTTGCATGGGCAAATACCAGATTCACAAATGCTATTCAAGGTATAGGACATTTTTTTAAGTTTTGGTTCTGTAAGTGATGGCCTGGAGAAGGGGTAGGGTGGGAGGGATGGAGAATGGCAATATGGATGTGAAGGAGGATTGGAAGTTGGTTGCCATACTATCCATCTGGCGTATCTGACTGTTTAGGAGCTCTATAATGAATGTGTTCTGAGAATAGAGTCATGTTTGAAAAACACAATTGTTTTGGAAGATTCAAATATAGGTGAAATTTGCTTGTGGTTTGTGAGCTACCTTAGGTGAGGCTTTATATGGCAAACCTCTACTTCTGGAATTTTTAAGATCATCTGCATAGATGATAGAGCTTTTGTGGGGGGTTTCTCTGGCCCACTTTCTCTTTATAAAAATCCCAGTCAGGATAAGAAATTATCTAGGTTCATTAATGTCTCCTCTCTTGAGATGTCTGAAGGTAAAGATTTGGGCTGATCGCTTCTGACCAAAGGGGATGCTAAAATATGTCATTGATAAACCAGTAGTAATCCAAGCCAAGCATCTATGACAAAATGCAATGAACTGCTTAAAAGACTAGGTTTTTAGGCTAGTCTGCAATGCCAGCTTTGCAAGGTCTAGAGTTGTTGGATCATCATCTCATCTCTCTGACAACTCTGCATTGCCTGAATAGCATCCTGGCTGCTCCTTGGACACCATCATAGTTCTTCCAGGCAAGCAAACTGCCTCTCTAGGCCTTCATTAGCCTGTCTATTAAGGAGATAACACAGATCTTAAGACAGACATTAAACAAGTGTTTAGCAAAGGCAAGTCTTTTCTTTTCTTTGTTGTTTTGAGAAAGAGAGAGAAAGAGCACGCACATGCAAGGGGGAGGGGCAGAGAGAGAGGGACAGACAGAATCTTACTCAGGCTTCACACTCAGCGTAGAGTCCCACCTGGGGCTCAATCTCACAACCCTGAGAACATGACCTGAGCTGAAACCAAGGGTCGGTAGCTCAACCCACTGAGCCACCCTGAAACCAAGGGTCGGTAGCTCAACCCACTGAGCCACCCAGGTGCCTGGACAGGTCTTTTTCATGACATGAGACAGAACAGATGAGAGACAGACTCAGGATTTATTTAAGTTATTAATCATCTTTTTTGTAATAATGTTTCCATTTCTCCCAAAGTTCATGACTCTGAAGGAAGTACAACAAAAACACTCACACTGAAGGATATTTTAAATGGGACGTTTACCTATAAAACATTTTTCCCGAACTGGATTTCAGGTAAGTGAACTATTTCTTTACCTTTTGGGGTTTTAAAAAAAAAAATATGTGTTTTTATTTTTAGTGCCAACACATCTCTATGGTAACCGAAGCCATATCCATTGAAATGGAAAGAAAGAGAATTATTTAGACAAGTCAAATGGCCACCAAAGCACCTTTGACAGAACCATTTGGACTGCATTTACCCAATAGTCATGATGCCCGTTGGAGTTTCAGCAAGAAAGTAAAAGTTGAGAGTACATTGCTAGAATAATCTGAGCACGTTGTATGGTTCTTCAGAATGGGAGATATGCACCTATTTAAGAGAGGTCATAAGAATTTTACCAAAAGAGAAATTCCATTGTCAATCTGGATAATCTGAGAAATGGACAAATCCCACCCTGATAAAATGTCTTTCCTGGGCCACAAAATTGATATTTTCATATAAGTTTCCAAAATAGAATGCTGTCAAATAAGTCTAATCAAACAAATAGTAAGGTCAACTAAGTTGTTTATGACATTATAGTTTATATCTAAGTACAACTAAACAAATCTGAATATTTTAATTTTTCTCTTTAAAAAATAAAATGCACATCAAATGGGTTTTAAACTAAATCAAACACAGCCTAAAGGTAATGTATTTTTTTTAATTGCAAATCAAACATACCATTTTAAACTAGTTTATCTTCTTTGTAATACAGAGAAAATTTTATTCCCAAGCACCCTGAACTGGTCATAATAGGGCAGCTACTAGTAAATTTGGCATTTTTGTGGAGAGTGGAAAAGAGCATCCTTTCCTCCCTTCCATTGTCAAACTTATTATTTTAAATCTGTCAAAGCAATGTCCTGGACAAGGAAGAAAAACAAAGTAATTCTGTGAAATAAGAGAGGTTTCTCTTTCTTATAAATGTATTTTGTATTAAGGGAGATCATTTCAAGTTTGTTTTCCTTCTTGTTTAAAGGACAAGAATATCTTCATCAGTCTACAGATAATGATATAGTATATTACAATATTGAAACAGGAGAATCATATACCATTTTGAGTAATGCCACCATGGTATGTATCCAGCAACATCTTCTTCCTCAAAACTTTGCCATCTCTTCACTGATCAAGGACCAGAGTCCAAACACTCAGCACTTGATCTGGACCTGATCGGCCTTCTTGGCTCCATCTCCCACTAAATTCTCAAATTCTCTCTTCTAGTCACACTAGACAACTGCCCTTGCCTCCTCTCAATCGCCTAGCATCTTTCTTTCTCTGTGGAAAAAGTGTAGCAAGAAACAAGAGTCAAGAACTCAGTCCTTACAAGAGGCAAACTGAGGCTCCGGGTTCTGTCAACGCCCTAGTTATGGAAAGTTACATAAGTTTCCTCACTACGCCAGCCATAGTGTGCCTCATTTTCTCTCTCTAAAGAGTAGGAAGAATAATCCCTCTCTGGGTTACCGTAAGAGGTAAGTGATGTAACATTTGAATGTGGTAGGATGGCACCTAACACAGAATACACGCTCAATAAACAAGAGCTATGAAATGTAGGTGCATGCTGTTCTACCTCCCAGGCTCTCAATCCTCCTGCTTTCTCCACCCTCAAAAGCCGGCTAATGTTTTAAATCAAGCTCAGATGATACTCTCCTCCTCTGTGCAATCAATGATCCTCTCATTTGGATTTAAATACTTCTTTTCTTAATGCTTTTGCAATGCTGTATTTATATCTCTTTAATAGAACTTTCTAACTTGCAATACATTACTTATTTTCAAGTTTAACATGTTACGCTTCTAGAAATCACAGAGTATGTCCTATTTCTCACATCTTCCTCCCATAGTGTTTAATAAATTTCTTTGTATACAGTAAGTACCATGTAAACATTTTTAAAAATTGCATCGAAAGCATATGTATGTAGGAGTATATCAGTTATATGATACCCTTTTAGAACTGCACATTTACATGGCTCTGGGTATTTTTTTTTTTCTGTATTCTAATCAACTTCTTTGTAATTTCAGAAAAGTGTGAATGCTTCAAATTATGGCTTATCACCTGATCGGCAATTTGCATATCTAGAAAGTGATTATTCAAAGGTATAGACTATTTAATCTGGGTATATCTGTCTATATCTCTTACTAATCCACAGTTTGGCTTATAAAAGTAAGAGGAAGCAAGAGTACATCTTTATATCTAAATATTCAAGAAGTTAATGTGTGTTCTCGATGAGCCCCCAAAACATAACTGAAACATACACAAATAATTCAGAATTTGGTGTACTTGGCTGGTTATCACCCAGTAGTAGAGACTACTTTCCTTTGGGGGGGGGCTGCATTTTGAGACACTGATACTTATCGGAAATGGGAGAACTATACTTGTATTTCTAAAGCTATTTGACTTCATAAACCATTAGTTAATTCTCACACATTTTAACCTTGTGAAAGTTTATTACTATTGAAAATGGGAAAATCAAGGTGTAGCTTATTTTACTTACTTGTTCAAGTAAGATAATATACAGGCAGTGGTAGACCAGGGTTTAAATCTATGTGTTCAGAAGCCTGGAGTGGGAATATCCCACCAAACCGTAACCATTTACCCTTACTTAATTTGCCGTTCCTGATTGAAGTTGTAGAGGGAAGTTAATTATCTTATTTTTTCTACTTATACAACTTGAAGATAATTATTTTTTTGCAAGAAGGCAAAAGAATTTATTATCAAATTAAACTTCTAGTAATTACTTTTAGGTAGACAACGTTTTAACTGTCATTTTTCATATGCTATGTGACATGTAAAACTCTCTTAATACACAGAATGAATAGTTAATCTTTCCTCTCCCCGGCTGTTCTGTCTGCTGATTATTTTCCAATGGACCAGGTCCTGGTCACTAGCAATCTTTAGGAAGACACGTTTCAGCCAGTTGGAGTTTCTTTGCCAAGAGTTTGAAAACTCTTTTAAGAAACAAAATCCAAAATAATACTTGTATAATTCACTAACCACCGAACAAATATACTTAATGAGAAAAAGAGCAGTTGTGTTTTTTTTTTCAGGAGGAATTATAAACTACATAGTTTCTATTTATTTTTCAATTTCTATTATTTTTAAAAAGTATCATATTTGAACAAGGCAAACATTTTGTAACAAAACTCTGTGTTGAATGAAATTCTTTACCTAATTTTAGAGGGTATCATTGTAATGAACACAGGTGTAAGGTAATCCTTACAGCCACGGAGATCATAGTGGTTTCACTTCAATCAAGGTAAAGCATAAAGGGAAAATTCTTAGGAGAGAGTGTGTCAAAGAAAAGCTTTTTATATTAAGAAATGTCTTCGGATATGCTTTTTATGGAGTGAGGGTTGAATCACTGCTGAGATTAGTTCTGGAACTTAGACAAACAGCACAAAAGTCCACAGTAAAACTCTTTAAATGAAGACTCTTTTGGAATTGAAACATATCCTTCCTAGTGCCTTGTGAAAATTGTCCCTTTATAATTCTGAATCTTGAGTTGAATGATTTGTGATTATACATTATTAGCATAAGCTTTTTAAGAATTGTAATTTGTTTCCGTCTCCCTTCTTTCTGACAGCTTTGGAGATACTCCTACACGGCAACATATCACATCTACAACCTCAATAATGGGTAAGATGTCATGATTTCATGTCTATTTATTCATACTACTTACGTCTATTATAGTTTCTCAATCCAAATTCTGATTTGAAGTTAAGACTACATTATCTCGTTACTGATCCTAGTTTCTTACTTCTTTACAGTGTATGTGTACCCATAAAACTTAAGAAATTTAAGGAAATCCTGTTATGGAATATTTACCTCTTTTTATTTGACTAATATTTTGTGTTTTTACACACAATGCAGTTTTATTTTCCCTACTTTAGAACACCAAATTATAAATATACCATTTGTGAAAGTAAACATATGCACTAAAAGTACAAACACAGACATGGGAATGCTACTTTCAGGAGAGTAGCTACCTCATTGGAAGGAAGCAGAAGGGAAGGAGATGCAATATTAGTTGTACCTGAACACACACTCCATTAATTATTTTAAAATTAATTGTTTTTAAAATTGCAAAATGTAAATATTTCTTAAATTTAGGTTATAGATAAATTGTCATCTGTTATATTATTTTCTTTATTTATTTGTAATGTTTAACTGTTCAAAATATTTGCAATTAAAAAAAAAAAGAGTGAGTAGGTAGGCAAATGACCTAGTGAAAGAATTCCTGGCAGAAGGAATAACATGTAAAGGCCCAACGGGAAGGGAGAACATGGAGTGTTCCAGAAACTCAAAGTAGGTCAGTTGAGTTAAAATTGGAGAAGGGCATGCTGACTAGTGAGAGGTGGTGTAAGGTTGGGAAGGAGCTGGGGCCAGGAAGCAGGGGCCAAATAATAATGAGGAAGCCATTAAGAAGAGTTTAAATGTCATTCTGATGACAATAGGGAGTCACCGAAAGGTTTTAAATTGGAAATGACATGATCAGATTTACACTTTAGAAAAATCTCTCTAAGTATGGACAATGAATTGGTTTAGTTACTCATCTTAATGTCATATCCTATTGCTGTTATGTAAAAGGGAAAAATAATTATATGGCTTGAAGAGGTATTGAAAAATTTTATGGTCTATTTCCTCTTTTGTCCAGCAAGAGCACAAAAATTCAAAAAAAAATCTACTTATTTTAAATGTTCAGAAAAGAATAACTCTGATCTTAAACTGTCAAATTAAAAAATAGGAACTGCTACATAAAGTAGAATCTGAACTCATCTAATGTACTCTGAGTTTTTCTCTTGTCTATATCCATATCATCACCAAATTCAAAAAGTATTTATTGAACACCTACTATGTGAAAAGCATATATGGGAGAGGTACACATGAACTCAAGGCACTAACCCTACTCTCAAGAAAACTTGAAACTAGTGAAATAAAAACCTTACTCTTTCAGCGCAATTTCTTAGGCTTTAAACATTTCCTTATTTTTCTTAGTCATTTTGAAATTCTCCGCGTTCTATCTATGTTGAGGTTCAACAAATTAAACAGCATTCCAAAAGAAGGTGACAATACTAATATTTTAATTATGGCTTGTATAAGTTTATGTACCAGAATCATTTTAAATATCTAGCTTTTGTGCAGTGAATTTAGTCATACCACTGCTTACTTTCTTTCTTTCTTTCTTTCTTCCTTTCTTTCTTTCCCTTCTTTCTTTCTTTTCTGCACAACTATCTAATTTTCCAGATTGTTTTTTTTTTGTTGGTCAGGTAAATATAGCATAATTTAGGAAGTGAGTGATGACAAATATGTTGAGATTCAAGGCAAGACCACATACCACTAATTCCAAGTTTTCTATGTGCCTCTGAAGAGTCTATAAAAATCTACCACAGAGCAAGTAAAGAGGCTTCTGGTTTCAAGCATGGGAAAGAGTACTGAGGAGATGACAGCCTTTGTAAGCAGCCTCCTCCACTTTCTCTCATAGTGTTAGTTATTTAGAAAACAGAAAATGGCAGCTGCAGTGACTTGCCAGTCATGAAGGGACTGTGTGCTGAGATTTTCAGCTTGGCGCTGTCTGCATGCTTGCATAGATGATTCCACAGCATATCGAAACCTAAGACAGTGTTACAATGTCAAAGGTAGCATGAACGCTGGCTTGACAGAGAACTGTAACCAGGTGAAGAATGTGTTTGTTTCTGGATCATTCCTTTGCCTGTGCCCTCTTGTCTTTTAATATATTCTGGCCCTTCCCGGAGCCTGCTGCTCATAAACTGCCCTCTGGCAGGCGAGATTCTCATTGCAGCTCCAATAGTCTCTCTTTTCCAGGGGCATTACTCTTTCCCCAGTCAAAACAGACCTGCCCATGTTCCCTCATGGTTTGCTGGGCCTCAGGCTGCATGACCAAAGAAGTCACATCAAAGTAATGTGGGTTACAAGACTTCACAGATGTCCAAACTTTAAAAGAATGAGAAAAGTAGAAATGTCAGGCATATGTCAGATCCAGGCTGAAGTTAGTTTTCGGAAGGGGAAGGCCAAAGGGTCTTTCTTCAGGCTCACCAATTTATACACTGGAGGCAGTTCTGGTTTTGTGTCTCTACAAAAGCATTCTTAACAAAAACCACTGATGCAATCTTTAAGAAGATCATAGTCAAAACTTAAGCATGGCATCCTATGACTCTTTAGCACTTATAAAAATCTGAACACATTCTTGCTGTAGAACCACAAAGGCTCCACAGTGCAAGTTAGTCAATTGAGTATTTGCAGGGTGACTCTAGGCATCAAAGTGAGATTTTGGCCCAATAAGATATTTGAAATTTCCCCATGGGTGGAGAACTTTGCAAGCTTAAGGCATACTGCCCAGTGTATGATCTGTTTTTCAGTTTAGCTTGAGATCAGATGTTCCTTTCCTTTTCTGATTTCAAGTCAGATCCCTGGGGAGATTGTCAAATGGCATCTTATTTTCAAAAATTTGAAATGCATATGCATTCACAGAGATGGGGGTTGTAAATGAGAATGTGGAAGAGTACATATTAAACTTCAGCACAATTATAGCATTTGAGAGCTGGAAGGCACTTCATCGACCATCTCAGCCTGATGTGTATAAATCTTACAGTCCTGAGGGCTAAGAGACTTGGGTTTGGTTAGGGGTCTGCCAAGAACCAGCAATGTGATTTTAAAAAGTCGTATCTCTTTAACCTCACGTTTCTTTTTTACAAAACGAGGGGATTCCATTAGATAATTTTTAGAGATGGTCCCACTTTCACAGCCTGAAAATCTTTAATAAATCTTTAATTCACCTCACTATAAAGGTCAGAAAACTGAGACGCGGAGAAGTTAAGTGACTTAAGTAACTAGTAAAGAACCCTAACTACTACTCAATGTGTCTAGTGCCATTGTTACCACATTCTTTCTGTTAGGTTTGAAGAAGCAGAGGATGATTCTTCATTGTTGTTGTTTACTTTTTTCTGTTTACAAAGATTTTTTTTCATTGAACAGCAAGGTTTATTATTATTTTTTCTTTCTTTTTTTTCCTTCTAGAGAGTTTATAAGAAGAAATGAGCTTCCTCGTCCAATTCAGTATTTATGCTGGTCGCCTGTTGGGAGTAAATTAGTAAGTGTTTAAATTATAGAAGTGTTTAATCATTTAAATAAAAGAGGAGCCATTTGATTTTGGCCTTTGTTAAATTTCCCTGCCTGAAAGGAAAAAAAAAAATTCATGACTATTTTAGTGGTTAAAAACGGGAAGAGTTTTGATAAATTGAAACTCATCTGAGAATTCCGCAAAATCTCAAGCTCATGGATAGACTTCTTTAAATATCGCAGTCAAAAACTTTATCCTCATACTCAGCCAGAATGCTTTGTGCCAGAAAGCTGAGGAAAAATATGGTTTTCACAAGTTTCCCAGACTAGCTTCAGACAACATGAAATTTTGTCCAAGCTCTTATTTAAGGACTCTAAATAAAGATTAGATCTGGCTAGCTATTAATATTCAAAGATTTATTTGACTTTCTGTTAATATACACAATTATTTATTTGGGTAATAAAACAACAAATACAATAGTAGACTTTATGCTTTATTTGATACAGACTTTAAAAATCCTAATTGATGTTAATGTGAGTTGGTTGGTTTTTTGACCTATTAAAACGATACTTTAGTTGTGAGTCTTTTTTGCATCTGGATTACCACTCATTTTGCAGGTATTAGGTAAATAGTTAATACAAATTTACAGACTTCATTGTATTCCTTATGGAATTCTCCTCATTAACTTACCACCACGTCTAGGCATATGTCTATCAAAACAATGTCTATTTGAAACAAAGACCAGAAGACCCACCTTTTCAAATAACATATAATGGAAAAGAAAATAAAATATTCAATGGAATCCCAGACTGGGTGTATGAAGGTAAGCTGTATTCTTTTTCTACTGTTGCTGTTTTAGGCTTTTAATTGAAAATAATTGCATATATTTAGTAAAATGGAGATGAGTGGTATGTTACTGAGATGAATGGTGGCATTTCTGAAAGCTGTTATCAGATTAGGAACAGGGTGTGCCTGTTCTGAAAGAGCAAAATCTAGTAATCGGCCTGGGAGAGTTTATTTTCACAAGCATTATAAAGTGGTAGTAATAATTTATATTTCAAGTAGTATATGGTCCTTAGATGCTATGTTAGTACATTTCCTCAGGTTTCTTTTTTCTTGAGAAATAAGCCTTCTTCCAAAACGAAACAGCAGTCTACATAATTTTGCAGGGAAATATTCCTAGTTTTTGATGCTTTCGTGAATTGCGTCCTCTTTCTAGGTCATGTAGGATCCAGGACTCACCTGGACGTTAAAAGGTCTTGTAGTCTTTGCCTTTATTAAAAAATAATATAACTGAACTTTTTTTTTTTTAATATTCCTAAGAAAAAATCAACTTCCAACATTTCACTCTATAGTATAATTACAGTTCCCCTTGTTTGGGCTACTTTAGATGACTATAAAAACCAGAAGCTGCCCCAAAGGGAAAAATTATTTATTGTTGAAATGTTTAATTAATTTACTTAAATAATTACATTTCTGATTTAATATCAATTCCTAAGAAGACTGGTTGATGTTTGATATGAGGTATAAGGTTAAACTATTTCTTTAAACTCAGATTGTCTTTTTGAACAACCAAATTTTGGCATGTCACATCCACATTAAATAAATTATTTCAGTCAATAAATGGCCATACAACGTATTTTGAAGCATTTACAATGATCTTAAAAGTAAGTTATAATTGTAATTAATATGCTTGTATTTATCTTTCAGAGGAAATGCTTGCTACAAAATATGCTCTCTGGTGGTCTCCTAATGGAAAATTTTTGGCATATGCAGAATTTAATGATACAGAGATACCAGTTATTGCATATTCCTATTATGGTGATGAACAATATCCTAGAACAATAAATATTCCATACCCAAAGGTATGTTGAGTACTTTTAGCAGATGCTTCCGTTTCTCCTGTGTCAAAATGAGCAACCAATACCATGAATAGAGGTGGGATCAACAAGTTTGGAGAGCTTCTTATCCTTGTGCATTGTAAGGCAAACATTGTACTGTGCTCTATTATTTATGTGGACATCTGTTGCTTTGGACATCTGGTTGTGCTGGATGAAGTAGTCTTTGCAAAATCCATCGCAGAATCTTTGAAAAACATATGGTCTAGATTATGGAGGAAAAACAAGCTTAACTTAATTTTAATTTTTCATATTTCATGCTCCAAATTCAGGGTAAAGTTCTGTTTTGCAATTCCCTCTTGAATTCTCATGTAAATGCGAACTAGAATGGAAAATACAAATGTTGAACTTGATGTTCCCGTCAGGTAGAAGCAGGCATGAGTTATGATCTTTTCTGGACATACAAGGTAGGTTAAGTTTGTAAGCCTAGTTTCTTCCTTGAGGAAATGAGACATGGAGTGAGCCCAAAGTTTCTTGTATAACCATTCTAGAATTCTCAGTGTACACACTTTTCATTCAGTCCCATGTCTGAAGAGAGGGCTTCCGTGTCTGCAGTGGGAGAATAGCAAGATCACAGTGGAGAAGCACCAGATCCCGATCTGATTTAGATAAAAATCTGAAAATGGAGCAAATCATAAATCCTCCTCTCTCACAAGGAGTGGAAATGATTTTAGAAAATGGTTCTTTGTTCTTTATTCACTACACTGTTTACTTTCCAAAGAGAGCACTGTTATGGATAGATCCAGGGGGTCCCTATATGTGACAAAGATGGACAGATGTGCATACACACAAGTGGCTTTCGATGCAAGTCCAGGTGGTTGTGGTAAGAGAAATAGAAATAGCAGAGAGTCTAAAATTTATGTTAGAAGTCATATGAGAAAAGGCAGTGGATAGGAGAAGCATGTTTAGGGAGGAGACCCTTCAATGGCTGGGTATAAAGTCTGAAAGCTGGAGATATTTGGAAGCAAGAGGTGTGGTACTTGGGGCCCAAGATGTGAAAGAACTTGGGTCTTTGGGAGGGTGTAAGGGAGCAAGAAGAGAGGAGGAACCCATAACTGAGGACTAACTGATACTGGCTGAGAAGTTGGGACCCAAATTTCCATGTTTTCTTGAAGACCGAAGTTGCTGAAACATCTGACATCAGACCGAGAGGTGAGACAACTTGAAAGAAGCCAAAAGTCCCAGCTAAACCTCATAGGGAAACAGGTCAGAGGAGGGCCTGGACAGGTCTTTAGATAAATCCAAACAGCATGGAGTCATTTAAGGCTGTGAACTTAAACTTTGTGGACTTAAATTGTTTAACAATTATAAGACTCTCTTTTTCTGTGTTAAAATAACAGGAACTCTAAGAAGCTGTCTGGGTGTGAACTACACTGTCATGTAAATTTAGGGTGTATAATAGCACAGAAAGTACAAAACAAGAAAAGTGCAAATTCCATGGGCACTTTATTTGGAGGTGACATTTCCCTAATTTGGGGGGGGGATGATAGCAGTAGTAATGTAACCAACTAGGAGATTGAGTGATGATTGTCCTAGACCAAATTATAGGGTACAAAGCAAAAAGTCTCTTTCATTATTTATTCTTTACACTCTCCTCCCCTCTACACTCCCTCTAGCACATGGAGAAATGATTCTTATACTTATCATAATAATAATAATAATAGGAAATACCCATTTTGAAAGTCAGAAAAGAGAATATCAATTATAGAACTGCATTTTCATATCCAAAATATTTTTTTCCCTATGAATCAAAGCTCCCTCATTAATCACTTAAAATATGTGTTTTTCACTCTGGTTGACACAATATTTGTAATTGCTCTGCAAGTAAAATTGAAATGAGATTCCTGGTCATGTTATAATTAGAATGTTTTCAATAGTAATATACTTAATATCATTACCTTATAAAAATACGCCTGAATTCCTAAAGTGTCTTTAATATGTTGATGATCATTAGAATTTTATGAGCTTATATATCTCCAATTTTTTGACAGGCTGGAGCTAAGAATCCGGTTGTTCGGTTATTTATTATCGATACCACTTCTCCTGAGCATGTAGGTCCCAGAGAAGTACCAGTACCAGCAATGATAGCATCAAGGTATAGTAAGCTCAGCTGCTTCCTACCTTCCACTGAATTTTAACACCGAAATTTCTCTCCTTTTTTTCAAAGATTTTAATTATTTATTTGACACAGAGAGAGAGGAGAGAGAACACAAGCAGGGGGAGCTGCAGAGGAGGAGGGAGAAGCAGGCTCCCTGCTGAGCAGAGGGCCCCACATGGTGCTCAATCCAAAGACCCTGGGATCATGACCTGAGTCGAAGGCAGACATTTAACAGACTGAGCCACCCAGGCGCCCCTAACACTGAAATTTCTTAATTGGGATTTATACTTCCTTTCTAGTGAATTTATGATGTGTATACTCTAAGCAAAAATAAATAAATAAAATTGACATGCAAACCCAAATACATAACCAAATTAAAAAATCACAAATACATTTCTTAAATCGATTTTTAAAATAGTAGCCTCTTTTGTACATATAAAGATGATCATAGTGATCAGTCTGAGTGATAATTCCCTCAGGTGTGTGAAGGTAAACTTGGGGTCAGTAGGCAAATAATAAAATTCCTATGTCTTCTCCGCATGGTTTCTCTCAACTCTGGTCTACTTTCTCTCCAACCCAGGGTTTATACATCATGCTCGATCACATATGTATGACAAACAAGAGAAGATAAGCCAACCCTCTCCAAATATTAGCATTTTTTTTTTTTTTTTACTAGGATGAAGTCTATCCACAGTTATCTGTTTGTCCAATTTCTGTTTGGGGTTAACTATAGGTAAACAGGGACATGAAGCAGTCTCACTTCTCCAGCATGGTGCCCTATGTAGATACTGGCTGATTAACCCTGATAATAGCAAGCCTCCAGCCCTCCATCAGCCCTCTGTGGTATTCTGGTTGAAGCAGATAAAGCTAAGAGGTCCCCTACGCCCTGCACGGTGGGCCTCCTTACCACTTCCCAAACCCAGCAGGCCACTGCTTGGCTTCTCTCGTGCTGCCCCATAAAGGGGAGTCAGCCAGGGCCAAGCAATTGATCACTACCAGGGAAAAGAACCACAGCAGAGGCCTCTGCTGGGCCCTGCCAAGGTGAATCCACTCGTGGATAATTTAAAATGGCTTTATTTTTTTTGGATGATCCATTACTCCCCCAACCCCAATCTAGTGGATGAAAACTTGACTAAATACATCTTTTATTTTTTTCTTTTGAAGTGTCATTCTCCTGAGGAGGCAAATGGAATGATAGAAAGGGTACTGTAGGAGGAGTCAAGAGGCTTGTTGGGGCATCTGTAAAATACTAACAGTTTAATAGTAAGAGCTAACCTTTTCTCGGCACTTACCATGGAGCAGACAGAATTCTCAAGAACCTTAAGCACTCTCAACAAATTTTGTAGCAAGCTTTAAATTTGGTAATATTATTATTCCCATTTTATATAGAAACGGAGGCACAGATATGTTAAGTAAGTAGCCTTAAATAGGACAACTAGTAGGAGGTAAAACCAGAATCTGAGCCAGAGACCCTTCCAGTTTTGGGATTGCTTTTACATCAATGTCCAAAATTCTGTGGTTTATTTACATCGATGTTCTCTCTCTGCAGCTTCATCCTCAGAGCCAAGTAATAATTGCTGCCATTCATTGACACCAACTACGTGCCAAGCATCATTTGAGTTACTTAGTATACATCATCTCTGATTATTATAGTAAGCCTGAATTTCAACCCCTAATCACGGTCACCGTTAAAACTCGGCTTCCAACACAAACCTGCCTGGAGAGAAAGATGGGCATTTAGCATACTTGGCTCTCTCTCAGCTAGTTAAAAATTGAAAACTTGAGTTTACCTGTGAAAAATCACCAGTTTAATGCTTTTTCCCCCTAGATTGACCAATAGCTTTGGCCTCATGTCTTAAAATGTTTCTTGAGATGTACAAATCCAAAATGAGGAGAAAACTCAAGCATAAAATAATCCAATTAGATGAATGAGTTCTCTTATAGATATTTGTTAAAAGTCAGCAAGTATGGGGTGCCTCGGTGGTTCAGTCAGTTATACATCTGACTCGATTTTGGCTCAGGTCATGATCTCGGGGTCTTGATATGGAGCCCCACATCGAGCTCTGCACTGGGCGTGGAGCCTGCTTAAGATTCTCTCCCTTCCTCTCCCTCTAACTCTTCCCCTGCCCCGGGCTCACTTGCACTCTCTCTCTCTCTCTGAAAAATAAATAAATAAATAAATAAATAAATAAATAAATAAATAAATAATAAAATAAAATTCAGCAGGTACATTTAAGCCTTCTTTCTCTGTAGGGAAGGGAAAGTTTACCTTCCTTATCTATAGAATAAATATTTCATAATAATAAAATACATCCTTTAGAAAACAGAACTTAAATTATTTGATGTGATACTGGTTTATGGTTGTGACTCTGTTTTGCTTTATTTGCAGTGATTATTATTTCAGTTGGCTCACATGGGTTACTGATGAACGAATATGTTTGCAGTGGCTAAAAAGAATCCAGAACGTTTCAGTTCTGTCTATATGTGATTTTAGGGAAGGCTGGCAGACATGGGATTGTCCAAAGGTAGGTTATATTAAAACCACAGAGGTATATGCCAGAAGATGAAAGTACATGAGGGGAGACTTACCTGTAGCTAACATTTTGTATTATAAGGCCAGAATTACCACATTCAACTCTTGATTGCTTTGCAAAAAAAAAAAACCCTCTTTCTTCACATTTCTTTATTTTTATTAAATAAGTAAGATACCCTTGTTTTCTTGAATGACTTCGGCACCGGTACTGCGTAGAGAAAAAGACTAACTGAAACAATGTAACATTGGAAAAATAAGGCATCTGGTTTTGAGTTAGGATGGAAATCTATCCTTTTGAGATGCTACGGATGGCAGTCAAAAAAACCAAAATAAGGAGGATGAAAAGATAAGATGGGTCTATCATGGAAATAAATGTGTTTTATTAAAAAAAAAAAAACCGAGAAAATGTAAACGGTGCTATGTTCTATTCAGTGTCAAAATTGAAAAATAAAAATTTCAAAGGAAACGGATATTATCAAAAGAAAGCCAAATATTCCCATTTTAAAATTAACAGTAGATAATCAAGAATATGACATGAAATATCAGATCAAATTATCCTGCTCTCTTGTTACCTTGAGAGTACCCTATACTGTGTTAATTTTAGGGAGAAAAAAACTTGAAAATTAGGCACAGATTAATTGTTGAGTTTTAATTGTTTCTATTGTTCAAATCCAAACATAATCTGTTTAATTAATGAGTTAGACAAGTACTTTAGCAATCTAAAAGCTTTAAAATGAGCCTGTTCAGAAGTACTCATATTAGAGACTAAGAAATACAAAATGTTTTCTTTAAATAGGAAATTTGATGGATACATTTCATAAGACTTCTAATTATGAAGACGTGTTTCATTAAACCAAATATAGAATAAACCTATTTTATAAAGTAAGAAAAAAAACACAGAGCAATCAAAGTAAATCACTAAATTCCATCTCAAAATTAGGACACTATGTTTTGCAAGAAAAGAGTCATATGAATCTATTTGGAAATATATCAGGACTATAATAGTCAACATTACTCAGGCTAAAAATATTTCTTAAATCACTACTCTCTAAGAAGCTTGACTAATTTTGATGGAATATGCTAGAAGCTTATTTTTATCTTATTTATATTTTGATATACAAAACAGAAAGATTTTGGCTTTAATGCAGTAGCATGGGAGGGAAGAAAAGAATAAACTTGATTGTGGCAGTTAATTAGAAACCATTCATGTGATAAATCAGCTTTGGAGGAATATATCTTGACTGTTTTTATTGAATCTAGGTATGAGGAATTATTGCTTTAATTTTATTAGTTTAAAACCATAAGATCGGTCATTTAGACACAATTTTTAGTTCTCAAAAAAAAGGAATTTAAAAACAGCAATTGCTTTGGAATCTGAAATTCTAATTTATCAAAATCAGGGACAACTTTAATCCAAACTGACAGAATATATAAGATGCTTATTCAAGGAGATGTGGACTTTCTTGGAATATAAGCTTTAGTTTAATGGCCCAAAACCGTTATTAAATTTAAAATACCAGGTTTAATTAAACTTGGGATTTCAAAACAACCCCAGTTTCAAAATAATTTGATAAGTACATGGAACACATTTTCAGATTTAAGAACAACAAAGCGTTGAGTAACAAAGCTGTGCCTAAGATTTATTATTACCTTGCTTTTTATGACAGTACCCTCACTCATGGTTCTCTTTCTTCTTCACTGACTGTTCTTTTTGTTTCCAGCTCTTCTTTTTCTGTTCTCTAGAAATCTTATCATTCTCCAAATTAATGTATTTGCAAGATAGGCTAACTGCTATAACAACAATAAAACCCTTCCAGTAATTCAGTGGGTTAAGACAATAGAAATGTTTTGCACATTCATGTAACTACCTACTAATGAGTCCAGGTGAGTGGGGAATGGTGAGGGGTGGGAGATGGGGTGCTTAGGTTGATGGCATTTCTGCTGTCTTATCTAGTGACTTCCAAGGCTAGTCCAAAGTCATTCAAACCTGACCACCAACATCCAGCTGGGGGATGGAAAAGGGAATGGAGGATCATGCTCAAGAGGTTTTTTTTTTATAGGTTAGGCCTGGAAGTGGAATGAGTCACTTCTGCTCACACATCATTGGTTAGAACTTATCACATGACCACATCCTAATCGGGAAGGAGGCTTGGGAAATGGAGCCTGACTATAGTCCGAGCAAAAAGACATCAGCAAAAGATTGCTGATAATCTTATAGTCTTTGCCACAACTCTCAACTTACTCTTTAGGTGATTTTCATCTATACCAGAGGTTTCGGTTACCATTTGCCCCTCAAATTTATTCTGAGGATTTGAACTTTTAAGTTATCTCTGGCTACATCTTCTCTGGTCCGCCCTTAATATCAATACCTAGATGTAGGCTTTTATCACTTTTTTTCCCAAACATTACAATAGCCTTCCAGTTGATCTCTCTGCTTCCTTCTATCTTACTCACTTCTAATCCATTCTCTGCATCATGTTTGCAATTATATTTTCCAAATTGTGATTCTGAAATCCTTCAAAGGATTTACCCAAAGGGGGAGTCCAAACTTCCGAGGGTGGCATTCGAGTTTCTCCAGGATCTTTCTGATACCCTTGCATCTTTCCTCATCTTCAACTCTTTTCAATAGTCAGTCACCCTCCCCTCAGCCATATTGAACCACACCTGTAGTCTACTAAGCTGGCCTGGTCTCTGTGTTGTTCATTTCACCTAAAATGTTCTTTCTCTAATTGTTTGTCTAGGAAAGCTTATTCATCCTTTCAGCCTTACTAAATTTTGTTCAATAAGTAATTGGTTGCCTTATGCAAAAATAGGCACCAAAATAAGATCCAGTGCACATTTTAAGATTCCTACCTACTTAATAAGATGAAGAAAAGAAAAAAATTAACCTAAAGTCCACTGTGAAATGCCTTTTTAAACTACATGACACCAAGTGCTTAGGGGTTGTGCTAGGCTTCTGTAGATGTAATAATTCCAGGCACCGCCTCATGGAAAATTAAACCAAGATTCTTAAATGTTTGCAGTAAGAGCCAGTTCTTAGATTACTCATGTGTATGCCATAGGGCTGGTGTATAAGATTGTGCATATGGTCACTTTAAACTCAAGTGTGAAGTTACTCAATTACAATAGTACAGTTTGAGTAGATAGCTTAACTGGTTCAAATGCCCAGGTCATATCTAGAAAAAACTGTTCTCCTAATAGTATGCTTGGTGTGATCTTTCTTTCTTTTAGACCCAGGAGCATATAGAAGAAAGCAGAACTGGATGGGCTGGTGGAGTATGATTTTGCTATCTTTTCCTTATATTTTAATGTCACTTCACAGATTCTCAGCTATCAAAGGACCTATTTTAAATGTATCCAAACTGACACTACTTGTTTCATAGAAAAAATAACAAGGTAAAAAAAAAAAAATACCACACACAAAGGTAGTGATCCTTTCAGCAAACTTGTGCCAGACAATTTTAATGTCTATATATTTAAAATTCTTTTGAGAACAAATCATATTCCTCATGTCCCAACCTTAGCTTTTTAATCGAGTTTCTGATATTCATAGTTAATATTCTTATTAAGCAAATAAAATAAAGATTATTTTTCAAAAGGGATCACAATTCCTGATCAGCTTAAAATAATAATTATTAGCCATTTGAAGCCAGAAGAACCAAATACACTGGTATTCTTAGTCATTTAAAGACAACCTACCTCTTAATACATTTTATATAGACTGAAATGAATAAATGAGTTATATATTTTTCCAGTCTTTAAGTGGTATCAAATAGGAAAATGTGTGTTTTGTTATGGTTTTTGATCACTTATATGTAGAATTTTTGGGATAGGTTTATACAGTAATTTGTGAGAATTTTTAGTGTAAAAAGATCATGTTTTACAAAATTATCAGTTGTGTCTAATGCCCCATGAAGAATACACAATAGGACAGAGAATAAGTGAATGTTGTGTGGATGCTGCCACTTATTACAAGCATATTGAATTCAACTAGTATTTGGATTTAAACACACACACACACACACACACACAGTTTCTCTGAGTGGCACATGCAAAGAAAAAGGAAACTCTTTAGTACCTGGTTTAACACACTAACCCGTGATACAAGGATAATAAAGAATTCAGAGTCAACTGTAAGATGATAACTCATAAAAATTCAAAGTTTAGATGGGTAGAAAGAAGGTAAATGACAAAGTAAAAATCATCAGATATTAAAAACTCTTTTTTGTACACGTTTCTGGATTTAGCGATGTTAGCTTACATATATTTACTCTTTCAGTTAAAGATATTTCAGTTTTATTCATTAACTTGAGAATAGTTATTACTTTATTAATTATATACATTAAGTGTAAGTTACATTCTAAAATAGCAAGGTAACAAAGATAGGTTGTGTAATTGAGAAAAAAAAATGGCCAAGTCCTATTTGAGTTCACTCTTTGCCACTGTACTAAATAACGCAAGAAAAATCAGGAGTATTTGGTGAAAGGACAGGATTTTCTAAATTTTTGAAATGTTGGTCAATCCTAAGCTCATCTTCCAAAAAGGTAATTCCTAGATCATTATTTGAAAACTTGAGGAAAGGGGAAGTTAATCTATGAGTTCACTCCCATTATAAAATTTCCAGTAAAGAATGAAGGCAAAGAAGAATACTTGAAGACTTCCTTTGGTTGTATTCTCCATTATGATAACATAGTGAGAGTTACTACAGAATGATGTGAATGATATGATTTTACAAATAGATAAACAATGATACCAACAATCTTCTCAAAGACATGATTTTAGGAATCCACACACTTTTATTCTGAAAATGCTACCAGCATTCAAAATACACCGAAATATTTTAAAATGCATCTTTTGAAATCTCTTATTTATAAGCATCTTAGAGTCATTTGTACCTTATCAATTTTTACAATCTGTATAGCACCAGCCTTGTAACCTCAACAAACATGAGCTGGATGAATGGATCAATTAATTAATTAATTGCCTTCTAAAGCCATAGAACATTGTTTTAAATACCCTCAGTGGAAGCACATGCATATCCTTTGAGGGAAGATGAGATCCCTACATGAAATAAAAAATTATTTTTAAAAAAATCATGCCAAAATAAATCTAGTGAATAATGCGTTATTTATCTTCAACGTATGATTTTGTGCTACATCATTTTAATGTCTATAGCTTTGGAATTCTATTGGGAAAAATTATTTTTTCATGTACTCATCTCGATCTCTTAAAATGTACCCAATAGTCAGTAAATTTTCTAAATCCCGGAAGAGGTATCATCAAAAAATCTTTGCAGTGATAGCTTTCAAGAGTAAGTTCACATTCTCCCAAGGCAGCTGCTTTGAAGAGGTCATTCATTAGATTTTATAAGTTTTGACATGTCTTTTGAAAGTCAGGCCATAACTTTATAAGCTCATAACTCCTATGTCATAATATTGACCTATAATCAAACCAATGGCTTAATAAAACTACCCAGAAATAACCTAGAAATATGTATGTCTTTCAGACATTTGTTCAAGTAATATTGATCTAGTTTTTAGAGAAAGTCATATCAGTATAAAATCAGAGAGCAATTTTAGAGAAGTTGTTCCTTTAGAGTTTATAAAGGAAATCTAAACTGAAAAACACTTGGAAACCACCTGTGAATCAGAGGAATGAGACTGAATGACTTGTGTAAAGCAATGCACTTGTTAGCTGCAGGCATGGCACTGGCACATAGAGCTTTACCTATCATTTTTTGTCCTCCAGCACGAGATATTCAGTGTCTTAATTTGGGGGAAATAACCTAACATCTCCTTTGGTATTTGATCAGAAAAATAACAACCACGAGTTCACTTCAAACAAATTTCTTCTCACCCTGTAGAGAACAGACCAAAAAAGAGAAGCCTTTAATCAAAGGATCTAGTATTGAGTTAGTAAAATTTGGAGAACAAGCACTAACTAAAAGCATACATCTTAGAGTGCAAAGCCACATTTAAATTATTTTAAAAATAAGTAAGCAATACACTACACCTCCCTTAGCCGTTGGCAATATCCCTTTGTTCAAAAAAATAAGGGTTGTTTTGGGTTTGTAATTTTTTTTAACTTTTAAGTGAGCCTTTATTTCCTTGTTTCACAAATAAAGCTGGCTGACTTTGGTTGCCAGAAAAATGAGTTTTCTACCCAATGCTTGAAGTCTGTGCTTTTCACCAAATGCGGACTCCTTTCAGGCATCAGCCTTTGCTAAGTAGGACCTCAGGGTTATTTCCCAACCATGGTAAGAAATTATCAGGTGGTGAATAATCTTACCTTCCAAGTATAATATTTGAAATGGCTTTGCACATAGAGGTGAGTAATTTATCAGAAAATCTAAGCACGATAAAGGGGCTGTGAAAAGGCCTTGTTAAAACCGAGGACCACCTAGTTATGGGTGCTTATCTAGGGTCCAGGCGTGACTTGCCGCCAGAAGCACTTAACTCAGGATGCATGATGGACCCAGCTCTGGGAAAGTGAAGGCGGAAATATTTCACACTCTCTTTAGCTCACCCAAGTTACCTGTTCATCTAAAGCAGCTGTCTTCACCGCGTGCAATAAAAGGGAGAAGATAACAGTCTCCGCTTAGCAGACATATTCTTCCTGTTCGCCTGATTCTGATATCTTAAAACATAACACCCTGCTCTCTTATTTTTTTTTTCAATGAAAATGAAATTTTAAGTCTTCATCTAGAACAAAACCTTTTTTACAGTTCCTTACTAACCCGAGTTTTGAGGAGAATATGTTTTTACTCTGGCATCTTAAAATATTTTGTGACCCTGGTTCCATTTTAGCAGTGAAGACCACGTAGCGCTGTTTTTTGTCCTTCACCCTGAGGAGTGAGAGGGAGGCATTGCAAAGTGGCTACTAGTAAGTAGGTGTATTATCATTGGCCTAAGAAGGCAAAGCTTCCTTCTAAAATGAAAGAATGGCTTGTTATGATGACCTATACTAATGAAATTCCATCCACAAAATTACAAGCCAGAATTTCTTTTCCCTGGGCCTCTTTTTCACTCAGTTCACTTTCAACTTCATTTAGAGGCATTAGTCTCAATACCCCGAATCCCGCCGAGGCTGGTCTTATGATTAATGAAACTAACAAAGGGATCGTGTAAGGAGATAGATTCTCTTTACTCCATTTTTCATTTGGTGAAAGACATCCATTCTGTGCCAGAGTGATAAGACTTAGGACGTATTAGTTTCCTGAGACCACTGCAACAAACTACCACAAACTCGGTGGCTTGAAACAACTGAAATTCACTCTGTCACCATCCTGGAGGCTGTAAGTCCAAAGTCAAGATGTCAGCAGGGTCCTGCTCCCTCTGAAGCCTCCAGAGAATTCTTTCTCACCTCTTCCAGCTACTAGGGGCTCTTGGCAGTCCTTGGACTTCCTTGGCTCGCAGTTGCATCTCTCCAATCTCTGCTTCCACCATCACGATGTCTTCTTCCCCATGTCCCTTGGGTCTAGTGGTATCCTCTCTTCTGTTGAGGACCCACCAGCCAGATTGGATTCAGGGCCCACCCTGATCCAATATGATCACATCTCAATTCTTACCTTGATTATATCTGCAAATAGGGTCATTATCTTCCTCCCTTTGGGCTGCTAAAACAAAGTGCCATAGCCTGAGTGCCTTAGAGACAACAGAAGTTGATTTCTCACACTTCTTGAGGCTGGAAAGTCTTAGATCAGGGTGCCAGCCTGGTTGGGTTCTGGTGAGAGCTCTCTTCTGGGTTGCAGACCACCAACTTCTTGGATCCACACATGGTAGAGAACAGAGCAAGGGAAGCAAGCTCTCTGGTGATTCTTATAAGGGCATTAATCCCATTCATGGGGCTCTACCCCTGTGACCTCATCTCATCCTAATCACCTGCCAAAGGTCCCACCTCTTAATACCATCCTAGTGGGGGTTAGGGTTTCAAAATATGAATTTGGGGGGAGATAGAAACAATCCCAGTCCATCATAGTTACCATCGGAGGTCTGGGTTCAAATGAATTTTGGAGAATGCTATTCAGACCACTACAGACACCATACCCAAATAAGTTACATTTTAATATCACGTAATCATAACCATAAATTTTTATCAAAAAGCATCAATTATCAGATCACACACGGAGCTATCACTAAAAAGGCCTATAGCAACTAAAAGATACTGGTAGTTTGGTTGTTGTCCCTTGGTCAGTTCTGAAGGAGTTGGACAACTTGTTTCTCTGGCCAGAGACAGCTGGTTTGGGATTATTTGTGGGAATCTCTACTGGGCATGATGCAGAGCAGCTCTTTCTTCCAGTAGCTATTTTACCACTTTGCCTTTCTTTTACAACCCAATGACAACAAAGCCAACAAATATAAGACAAGGCTATTTTTTTGTCTTTTTTTTTTCAATTGAAATGAATGGGGTCTTTTTATTATTATGTTCAGTTAATGGCTATTTTTTTTTTTAATGGAGAAACTACTAGCTAAAAATTGTGTGAGGATATTTGCAGAATTTTAGTTATCTATACCATTCCAGATATAGAGGTGTAACTTGCTCTGTTCCAGGGCACGGGAAAGCTGAGTGTCAGAGACTCCTTGGGTCATTCAACAGTTCCCAGCAAGTGGCCAGTGTGGGCCCTGGGAAGAGGCCAGAGACAGGCAACGAGGCCTGTTTCGCTCCCTGAGCTCAAGGAGTAAACCTCCTACTAGCTTGTCCAGGAAAACATTTTTCTCTCAAGTCTAGAAGTTCTAGAAGCTTCTTTCCAATGTTAAAAATGGTGGCTAGCAGGCCATGATATTTTCATCTTTAAAATGTCTTCAATGAATCATTGGCATTAGGTGCTTAGCGCCAGACAAATCAAAAATCAGAAGAACTATCAGCCTTCATGAGTCACATTTTGGTCAAATACCACATTTTGAAGTTTGGCTTGGCTAAATATCAACACTCACTTGTGATTCTTTTAACTCTCTTTCAAACCACACTACCTCCAAGCATAGACGTTCAATGGAATTGAACATTACAAACACAGTGCTATGTAGTAGCAATTAAGCAGCAGTTGGAATGTGCAAATGCCTGTTGGAATCCCTAGAAAAGCTGTCTATCTGAAAGAATGGGATTTCAGATGTGAGTGATGGAAGGCAGGGGAGGCAAGGCGTTCTGGTTCCTATAATCATAACTATCCACTGCTTTTAAAAAAAAATCTAGTTTTAGTTTGGTTTGTCTTTTGAACATAACCTCTGTTCATTTCTTTCAGTTCTTTGTTTCAACACCAGTTTTCAGCTATGATGCCATTTCATACTACAAAATATTTAGCGACAAGGATGGCTATAAACATATTCACTATATCAAAGACACTGTGGTATGTTCCTTCCAAGATTTATCTCCTCAAAGATCATTCACTTGAGGTTGCTCAAATAACGCTCAGCTTCACACAACATAATGTTTGTCTTTTTATAGGAAAATGCTATTCAAATTACAAGTGGCAAGTGGGAGGCCATAAATATATTCAGAGTAACACAGGATTCACTGTAAGTATTGCATGAAGCATGATGCACCATTCAGGTTTTAATTAGCACTGATGGACACACAAATGATACTGTACCACCTCTTCGTTAAGAGCATTTTTGGTTACTTACGCTAGAGGTTAGTGCAGATAGCTCTGGTTTCATTAAGATTGCACATTCTTTAACAGCTAGTTAACATGATTTCTTTCAGGAAAGAATATTTAGTAAGTGGTCCTGTCTCTTCTGATACCTGGTAGATAATAAATTAAAAGTATAAAATTTTAAAAATAACAACTACTTCTAAACACAAATTTTACACTTCAGCACTTGAAGAAAGGAGCAAGCTTCAGAAGTCCATGAAGGGCAGCCCATAGATACAGACTTTTTTTTTTTTTTGTAGTAATTCAATGTTATGTGAATTTAAGATCATTATCTGTAACAGCTGTCATTTTTTGAGCAATTACTTCCTACCACATACTGTGAAGTAGAAACAGAGGTAGGGGAAACCCAAAGGTAGGAAGGCCCAGCGATGGTCTTAATCGAAGCCTGCAATGATGAGGACCTGAACTATAACAGTGCCAATGAAATACGTACTCTTGGACGGAGAAGCTACGCCTCCTTTTTCTTGCGTCCTTAACGCTTGGCATAGTGCCTGATGCAGCGCTGGAAGTCAGTAAATATTTGTTAAATGAATGAGAGGAAGGGTACATGACCGTAAGGACAGATAGAGTCAGAACAAGACTGCTGATTTCGTGGTCCTGAAGGAAAAGGGAAAAGAAAGGCAAAGTGGACTCGGTTGCCAGGGTTAGATGAAGGCAACCGTGAAGCCTCTGACAGAACAGGAAACCTGCGGGGGGCCACTTGGAAAAGATACGGGGTAGTTTATTCACTTGTAGTTTGAGATGATGTGAGGAAGACAAGTGCAAGTGACCGTCCCCTCGGTCGGAGTCACGTGAAGTTAGTCAAGGCACGTGGAAGGCTGCTGGTTTAGAAGACACAGTCAATCCTAGGAGTGATTTGCATTCTCTTACCTTTTCTTTCTACTTGGGGATAAGGAGGTGTTTATGACAGTGAAGACATAAAACCACCCGGGCCACTGAACAGTCCTAACAATTAAAAATGGGTAACCGAACCCGACTTTCTACACTCCATTATGCTCTTCCAAAAAGGAAAAAAAAAAAAAAAAAAGACAGTTACTTCGTGATATTCAGATGAACTCACAGAGGAGTGAAAATCATGCCACTAAATTGGATTTCCCACTTCATAGCTATATTAAGACAGGTTAGAACTGGGACCCAGATACTTAAGTAACAAGTATGTTCTCTTGTGACTTTTTTGCATCTCGGTAAATTAACATGGCCCTTTGTGTGGTGTCATAGTGCGGATGCATTTCTGGATTTATAACAAATTCATCTATGTCAGAGCTTCTGTAAAACAAATTCAAAATGTCTTTGGAATCATGGACAAAATTAATATAGCATAGAGGAACCAGTAAACTGTCAGGAAGAGGGTGATAATAATCAATATCCTACCTTATTTTGTGTAACTCATAACTAATGAATCAATATACCTATAATAAAAAAAGGAATATTCAGCATAATTTAATCTTTCTCCTATGATTTGAAAGTCAGAGTAAGTACATAAAATTCAGTGTTATAAACAGCAATGACTTATCTATCTAAGTGCAATTAATATAGTTTCATTAGACGAACATTGGACTATATTGTTTATTCTATTAGTATTAGTACTAACAATTCTGTCACCATTTAGTTATCAATACTTATTTAATAACTTCTGGATATATTTTCAGGTTTTATTCTAGCAATGAATTTGAAGGCTACCCTGGAAGAAGAAATATCTATAGGTAATTTATGTCAATATATTCTAATATTTTTATATGGTAATATATGAATGAAAATCTGTCAGAGGCCTGTGGATATATAGAATATTTTTTAAAGCCTGAAATGTAACAAAAATTATATATGAATCAAGGTAAAACATTGAGAGAATGCTGTACACCACATCAGTATAAAAATATACACTTCCCTGGGGTGCCTGGGTGGCTCAGTTGGTTAAGCATCCAATTCTCGGTTTTGGCTCAGGTTGTGAGATGGAGCCCTGCCTCGGGCTTCATGCTCGGCAGGGAGTCTGCTTGAGATTCTCCCTCTCCCTCTCTCTCTGCCCCTCCTCCTGCTCATGCATGCACACGTACTTTCTCTCTCTCTCTCAAGTAAATGAATCTTTAAAAAATATATACACCCCCCAAATATTAGCTAACTCAAAATGTTTTCAGGAAAAAAGTCAAGAAATTCTAATGCTGATATAAACATGATACTAAATACTTCAACTAAATTTAGAGGTAATTGCAGACATTCATCCATGTAGCAGCCACTTATTAAGTCCCTACTGTGTACCAGGCATTGTGGTTATTGCCATATCATGTGATTTCTTTTAATATGGTTCACTTTGGCATAAGCCTATTACTATTGGAAGGCATTCATCTCTGTTCCTAAATTAGTGTTTAAGTTGGTCCAGTTGTACCCTTGGTGATTGGAATGGTGCCCTCAACAGCCCTCTCTGGATATAGAAGTAAAAGTCATAGTTACCATCAGCTGGTAGTCTGCTATATGTCAGGCACATTTTTATCTACTTTACATATGTAATTTCATTTAGTCCCCACAACTTCGGGAGGCAGGTGATATTGTTAGAGCTAGGATTTTGTACCTGGGCATGCTGACTTAGCCCCCTTACTGTTAACTGCCTACCTAACAATTGCAAGATTGCACCAAAATGTGAACTATAACCAGGGAAATAAGGAATTTTCCCTCTGCTGCATTCCTCTGCTCCCTCCTGGATCGTGAATTCTTATCTATTAGAGAGAATCCCTCTGTAGTGCTAGCGATGTCTCTGGTTCCCATCTACCATGCCCTGGGCCAGGTCAGGGGCAGCAGCAGAAGGAGCACTGCGGCAGCAGATTATTTTACCAGCCAAAACAGACTCTGACCCTGACCCTACCCTGGCATCAAACCATCTAGTCTGCCCCAAATGAGAATCGATTCTGAGGGTTTGGGGTCAGGTCTGGGAGTCTGTATATTAAAGCCAATCACCCCATTCAGGAGCCATGCAGAAGGCTCTGCTGGGGAGAGGGTGGGTCTGACATGGTAGGTACAGGTTGGCTTGTGTAGGAGTGTGGTGGGGGGCAAGCATTCCCAGGAAGAGCTTCTCTGACCCTAACCTTCCTTCAGAAAGGAATGAAAGGCACAGGAGGCACTTAAAAACTATGTTTTTTTTTTTTATTTCCACTTTGCTTATGACTGATTTCCCCTTCCAGATATATGATAAGAACAGCGACCCCTTTCTTGGTGAGCCTGCCAGATTTTCCTTGCCTGTTTTGCATGGGAGTACAATAAGAGAGATGGGAAGATGAAGAACTATGCATTGCCAAGCACTCTGTAAGATGTAAGGGATGAATGGCTATGGGAAGTGGTTACCTCACTCCCATTCAAGGTGTTAGATATTTCTCCCACCTCAGAGGAACTGAAGGGCTTCTGTCTCAAGGCTTGTGCCTCTTCAGGCAAAGATGATTGAAAAATCAGGCTACATCAAAATACTGTAATTCCCCTTCACTTTAAATGATATTGGCAAGAGAAAAATAGAGTGGGTTTGATGTCAATATGTAAATTAGTCATTTTACATGGAGTAGTACATTTTGATAAATACAATCTCAAAATTTCAGCTTAGTTTTATTTTCATTTTCCTCTAGAATTAGCATTGGAAGCTATCCTCCAAGCAAAAAGTGCATTACTTGCCATCTAAGGAAAGAAAGGTGCCAATATTACACAGCAAGTTTCAGTGACTACGCCAAGTACTATGCGCTTGTCTGCTATGGTAGGTAACGGACCCCGAGCTCCACCACCACACTGCCAATGTTGTCATCATCACCATCTTCCCCTGATCAATCCTAAACTACAGGTCATCGAACACTTGTTATATATGAGGATCTTACCTATGTTATCTTATCTAACGCTTACGGGGGAAAAAAGTGAAAGGAAGATAGGAGAGCATTTTTATCTCAGTATTTTGCAGTTGAGGAAATAGAATGACTCGCAGAGGATCCACACTGCTGGTAAGCAGCAGAGCCAGGATGGGAACAGGGATGTGTTGACGGTAAATCCCAAGCTCTTACCGACTGTGTGCCGCAGCAGCGTGAAGTTAACGTTATAGGCAAACACCATCTACTCGCTATCACAGCAAGACGCGAGCAGGGTCACAGAAAGAAGCATTCTCTGTTAAAACGGTTGCTGGACTTTGGCCCCATTTGCCTGGAGAAATGTCAAACTCTGACAGCCAGGGGAAAGAATAATGTCCTAGAAACCTGAACTCCTTCCCTCGGAGGCCAATATTTCTTTGAATGATAGTTTCAGTGAGGATGGAAAGTAAACTTTTGTCACCTCATATGTTCTTTCTAAATTTGGGAAACATAAGCAATTCATTCAAATAGTAAAAAGTCATAGGGAATAAAATACACCAAATACTTCCTGGTTTTTTAGGCCGTGTGTACATTTAGTTAATAATTTCTATCCAAATAATTTTATTTCGTGCATAACATCTTATCTATTTCTTGAACATACGACAAGCCCTGAAACAGATTGGTTACGAGTCAGTAGATCAGTGAAATATATTGGGGTCTTGGTAAGCATCGTGGAGATTTGGAAAACGGACTTGAGAAATATCTACTTTTCCATTCTCTATCCCACCCCCATAATTAATCCCTGAGTCTCCCTGGTGAGGAACAGCAAACAGAGAATGTTATTACAAAATACATGCCACTCTACTGTTTCTAGTATCAGCTCCCAGTGGAAAGCAGCTCAGAGAACAAATGGAATCTTTGGCTGATGGAGCTCCCTGACCAGTTGCAGAAGACCCCAGGTTCTTTACTTCCCAGAAGGAAGGCTGCCTTGTCATGCCACTTTCCTCGTCCCAATCACCTGGCCCCAGAACCCGAGCCCAGGCTCAACTGACTGCAGAGGTGGATGAACATTTTAACCCAAATGCTCCCTTTAAGATGGCACAAGATGTCAGTTTGATACAATTACTTTAACACAGTGTGTTGAGTCAGTGACATCCCTGTTGTTCATGACTGTACGTGCTGATTGTGGTTATGTCACTTAAAGATATATATTAAATGTCCTTCTCAAATTATATGCAACATTCTTCAACCCAAGCTATATATTTATGCAACATATATTGAAAGCTTACATGCCAGGCATATAGTATCATTGAACTAACTATACTGAGTCATCTGTTTGTCTTTCTCTCCTAAAGGCAGAGGCTGCTTTCTTTTCATCTTTACATTCATAAGGCCAAGAAAAATGGCTACTGCACAATAATTATACATAAGGCATAATTGTTGAATGAACATCGGTGCTAAAGAAGATCAAAGCACTATTGCCTTTTGCAAAGCCTAACAAAAAACCTGTTCTTATGCTGACATATTTACCCATAGAGACCTCAGTGACCCTACACTTGCATACATTCATTTATGCTTATACACATTCTGCATTTGTACGATGCTTCAACCCTTTATGAAAGCACGCTGCCACTTTTTATATCACTTTGTCTTCTTATATTTGCTTGAGTCTGAGTGCCCACTGAAAAGATAAGGAAGCGAAGACTAAGCTCTCCTCAAAAGTTGGTGGAAGAGTCCTTTCTAGAACTTGAATCGCCTGACTTTTCCACACTCACTCTTGCTCGGCAGTATGGTAATTTCCCATTTAGCAAAAAATATACTGTGTGGGAAGCATCACATCGTCTGGTGTTTTTGAAGCTCCAGTAAAATGAGTCACTGAGCCATCATAAGAAAAACCTTGAAATCTTTCCCTTTAGGACTAAGAGTAAAGCCTCATTATGTAACTTCAAACTCTCCAAGAGATGGTGAGTAAATCCCAGATAATAGGATCAAATAGGTAAAAATTATCTTCCTGATGCTGACGGAACGGAAGTAATGCAAAGGAGGGACTCCAGACAATTGGTGTTTTGATGCCTCTGTGACCACAGGCTCAGGCCATTTATACCCAGGGTGGCCAGTCATTAGTCTGTCTCAGAATTTGGCTAAAACAGATATGCTAGTTGTCACTCCTGGAGCTGCATACCCATGAAAATTCCATAGGGTGGATGCTGGTTGACGGAAATCAAGAAATTCAGATTCATGTTTCAGTTCCTTACACTCTGACCACAAATATAATATGTGTTCGTCCTTTCTAATAACTTTGAGGAAAAGCTGGTCAAAATGAAAATCTATGAAAATGAAATTATATAAAACTTTGAAACTCCACACAATAGAGAATTATTTTTTGAGACAGGCTAATAAATAGTATCCCTTCTCCTTACTCTCGAGTTCACCTGAGGGTCAGGGAGGAAATTAAAATATTAGCTTTATCACCTGTAAAGGTTACTCAGAATTACAATTACAGGAATATGGGTACGACTAGAACGCCCCTGGCGGCCCCTGCAGGCCCCAGCATTGCCCCACTTAGAGCATGAGGATCCATTCAAGAACAGGCAGAAAGATGCCAGGAACAAAGCAGAAGAAGGAGGTACTTCTATCTATCCAGGTCTTCTGAGAACTCATCAAAAAGGTTACCCCTGCTTCAGCTTGCTTGGGATCTAGGGTGCTACTCTAATGATATTCCACAAAGAAGAAAGAAGCATCAGGAGTGCAAATGAACCTCTACTCCCAGCCTCCATGTTGTTTCTTTTAACCCATCGGCTGACTGTCAGAGCAAGTTTATCCTTTAAAAGCATATTTCCAGGGGCGCCTGGGTGGCTCAGGCAGTTAAGCGTCCCACTCTTGATCTCAGCTCAGGTCTTGATCTCAGGGTTGTGAATTCAAGCCCCATGTTGGGCTCCACACTGGGTGTGGAGCCTACTTAAAAAAAAATTAAAAATTTAAAAAATATATATTTCCAGGTATTATTTTATCCTGTGGTTCAAGTAAGTTGGAGATAATTAGTGTGTGATTATGTACAGATCTTGCTAAAATGGCCAGTTTCTGCACAGAGCACCTGAGTTCCATGCTGTAATATGTAGTGGACACTGGTGTGTCACCCAGAACCCCCCACTTCCAGGCCGAATTCCTCATTTCGCTAGCTGCTGAGAGTGCTGGTGGCCGCCAACAGCTCACAGCTGAGCTCCCACCCTGGGAATCATTCTCATCCCCTGCCACATCCGATGACTGCTCCAATCTGGGGTATAAAAGCCAGCCCTGTTGGTACATGGAGGCCATTCTGCAGGCCATCCAGAGCTCCCTGTGGGGTCGGCTGAGGTTTGTGTTTTGACTGCACTAAAGCCCACCTTCCCTTACCACCTCATCCTTCCTCTCCCGGAAGTGAGCATCCTCATACTACCCCCAGAAAAATCTCTGGCCCACAAAACTTCTGGGTCTGTTTCCCAGGGCATGTCACCTGCCACAGCATACAGGTAACAAGATTCTATACAAATTTATTTCTGCCTCTATTAATTACATGGGGTGGGGGGAAAGATGCTGGGTTCCACCCACCAAAATACACTGAACATTGGACCAAGAAGCCAGACTGAAAGTATCATCTGGGTGCCGGTGAAGGTTATTGGATAATAAAGACACAGCTAACGCTAACCCATACAACATGATGTCTTCTCAGAGGGCCATGTATCGTGGCAGATCCTGGGGGCCATTTGTGTAATGAGATCTGGACTATTCGGGATCACTCCTGGAAAAGTGCTCAGGCAACTCTTCTCTCACAGCTGTTCTTTGATTGTGTTCTGATCTCATGTGTTGTTTAAATATAACTTAAAATGTGGTATTTGCTTCTCCAAGGGGGGAAAAAAAACAGCTGTAGAATTAAGATATACTTGACCTTGACACTCATCACAAATATGACCATTTTCTTATTGGAAACTCAGTGTTATTTTAAAGCTTAAGCATGTTTTTGTTTTCATCCTGTGCACAGGCCCAGGCCTCCCCATTTCTACCCTTCATGACGGCCACACCGATCAAGGTATGCTCACTTGCATGCTGTTGTCTAAAGAAATCCTGAACTCTGGGTGACATTATACTAGAGGCAGCAAGACAGTTTCCCCACACCAACAAGGGGAACTGTGATGGAATCCTGTGGTCATAGAGCTTATTGTCACATAGACTTGGATATTCTTTGAGTCAAACCTGATCCTCTGAAATTTAATAATTATTTGCAGTAAGAACCTGGCATAACACAGATGAGTTATGTCACAGGAATTCATGCTGTCTTCCCCAGTCAGCCTTATAAAAAACACAGAAGCTTAGCATTGGAAGGAAACTAGGGATATTTAGTACAACCTCCCTCCCAAATAAGAATTCCTGCTTTGATGCAGCATTCCAAAGTAGAGACAAAATACAGATCTAAGTCCAGTTCAAAGCAGAGGGTGTCTGACTATCACGCTGGCTTTTTTGTTCTAACAGCTACATCACACTGTTGCTACAAATGAAATCCCTGAAATTTAGAGTCTTTTCCCATTTTCAACTATTATCAAGACAGTCCTCCTCCATCCCGTATCTGTGATATTTGTTCAAAATAGCTCACAGATCAAAGATGACCGTCTTTGCTCTCGGCAGAGTGATCCGAATGTGTGATTGCCCCCATACTCTTCCTGCAGTTCCCCCGTTGTCTTTTGATTTACTATTGAACAACGTTATAGGGTTGAAGTTGATGGAGATGAGGGACAATGAGGGACTTCAGGACTCGCGCCTGTGATCCTCCCCAGACAGCTTTGGTGACAAGTCAGGAGACTGCTCCAGGATTAGTTTGACTGCCAGCTCAATGGCTCAAGTAAAATAGGTGAAAATAAGGTAATGAGAAAAAATAGTCAATTCGGAAGCTCTGGGCAGGACAGGCATTGTAATACAGGAACTGTGAATTTAGTGCCATTTTGAAGTTGTTTTTTTGTTTGTTTGTTTGTTTTACCTCATGTCTAATAATGAAATACCTTTAAAGAATAAAAGATTGTATTTCTCAGTATGGCTCATCTCAACCTTGAGTAAGAGACATTTTAAAGCAATACTACATTCAAATCTGAAAGATTTTATTTTAATGGAAATTCCCATAAATGTATGATTCCCATTTTATCATGACTGCTAAAGGTCAGCCTCCCTTTTTTCAGAGCATGAATTTCCACTTTCTTATTACCCTTCTCCTATCCCTGCCAGATACCAATTTCGGTACCGCATACAAAAATGTTTTTACTTCACCCAATACTTACAAAATAGGTGCAGTGCTCATGTCACTCTCATTTCTCATATGTATTTATATGTTTTCTAACCCTCGAATAGAATGCGATTTTTTTAGAACACAGTTCTGCAAACTCGCCTCGTGATGAAACTCTCCAGAGATATTTATTATAAATACAGATGCTCAGGTCCTCCCCAGAAATTCCAGTTCAGTGGATCTGAGATTGGGCTGCAGAATCTGAATCTTTAATAAATTTCCAGATAAGCTGCTTTTTAGAGCAGATGCTGGGTCTTCTATTTGTAGGGGTTTTTTTTCCACCCGTTTTCCTTTGCATTTGGTGCCAGAAATCTTTATTCAACAGATATTTATTAAGCACCTATCACATTAAGCCAGACACTGTGCTAGATACTAGATTCTTAAAATTAACAGATACTGGGTTAGATATGGTCCAAGTCCTCAAGGAGATTATAGATCAATGGGGAATGCAGACATGTGAGTGGGTAATACAGTGAGGACACAATTAGGATGGGGGAAATAGAGCAGGAAAGCACATAAGCAGGGTGCTGTATCTGGGGATTGGGGGTTAGGAAATGTCTCCTAATGAGAGATACGTCAAACTGGAAACTCACAAATATAAAGGAGGGATTAATGCTGCTTGGATGTCCGGCTTGGTCAAGTGGATTGATACTGATGCTTTTTACTGAAGGAGGGATTCACAGCCAAAAGAATGTTTGAAATGATGAATTTTGTTCTGGATGTTGAGCTTGAGGTGCCAATGGGATATCCAAGGGAGCCATCCGAAGTGACAAAGTTTTGGATCTGGACATTGGATTGAAGATGTGGAGCAAGAACTCCCAAATTCATTAATTTATGAAACCCATGGTTACTAAGACCGTGGAAGTGGATAGGAACACAGAGTAGGAATAAAACTGTGCAGAATACCAACATGAGAAATGGGTAAAGAAAAATGAACCTATGAAGGAGACAGAGAGGGGGACAGAAGGAGGGTAACCTTGAGAGTATGGTGTCATAGAATTCAGGGAGGAGAGGGTCTCAGGAAAGAGGAAGGACTTATCTGTGGCAAGTGCTACAGAGAGTGAAGTGAGACCTGCTCTAAATCAATGAATTTAGCAAGAGGGAGATTACCATTGGCTTGGCCAGACCAGTTTCAGAGAAACAGTGGAGGTGGGAGCCAGATGGAAGCAAGTTTAGGCTTGATTGGACGTAAGTAAAAAGAATATTTTCAATAGGTCTGCCTAAGGAGTGGAGGAAAGAGGTGGGATGATGGCTGGAAGCAGTTGATAGAGGTTTAATTTTGCTTTTGAAAGATAATAAACATTTGAGCATGGTTAAATGCTGATGGAAGAAATCAGGAGACCAGAAGGGGTCAAAGACATAAAGGAGGGAGGTCTCCAAAAAAGTTGGGAAAAAATGGAGTCCAGGGGCAGGTGGAGATTCATCGCTGGCATTGTGCTGAGCAAGAACGGAGAAATTACTAATGCAACTGTATGAAAGTGTGTAGACGTTGCAGAAAACAGTGCAATGGCTTCATTTTATCCGCAGAGTAGGGTAAGGTCATTTGAAAATAACATAGGACCTGAACTAGGTGCTTTAGAAACCCAGAAGGGTAGGCACTTAACATAGACATCCCAACAGACGCTTAGTTGCTTCAGGCACAACAGGTGCTCATTACAATTACCCAACTGATCGAATGACCTCATTTATCAGCTTTTCCACAGATTCTTCACATAATATAATTAGTGAGTAACATATAGTAGTTCATATAATTAAAACAAAAAAATTCTTACATGATCCATCATTCTTTTTTTATTTCATCATAATGAAGAGTCCACAAATAAATGGAAAGCATATACTACATATATATCGTGTACTAGGTACTAAGTATGCTAGGTACTGAGTATAGAATGATGAGTGATAAAGATGAAAGGTGCTCTGGGTGGTAGCACTCCTTCCATGTTATATGCTTTTAATGCAAAGCTACATAGAGAAGCCCAGTCGGCACCGCCACTGCCGACAGTCCTAAGAAATCCCATTTTGCTCCAAGGGGTGGGAAAACTACCAAGTTAATTTACTAATGCTTCTCTGGACTATAGAGCATTAATAAGCTTATAAATTAACTTTGGCATTTCAGTAAGCCATGAATCAGGAAAGTTCAATAGCTAGGAAAGAATGGAGGAATCAAAGTCTAACCAACCTAGCAACACTTGTGTATAGTCTCCGACTTCTGGTACCTGTGGTAAAATGATAAAAGTAAATAAGTAAATAATAAATATAATAATAAGTAAAATATGAAAATAAATAAATAAGCAATTATAATGCAGTCACTCTGTGTACTTGCTCCACACAGGATTCCCTTCATCCGTACTAGCTCCACACACAGAACCCACACAAGGAGAATGAAGAGCTGACTCCATTGTACTCAGAATTGTATATTTGGTGGGGGTTTTTTTGTTTTGTTTTTTGGGGTTTTTTTGTTTTGTTTTGTTTTAACTTTTAAGATGCCACAAGTATCTCTTTCCTGATGGATTATCCAAAGTTAAAATGAAATTTATTATGTATCTTATACAACTCATACCAAAACATCTATACTTGTTCTAAGATTAAATATAACATGTTGGAACAAAATGCCATGAGTATATGAAAACTGAGAGTTACAAGGGAAATGGTTTGGCAAACTTACTGTAGTTACAAGTATTTCTCCAGTTCCTTATCTTCAAGGACCACTTTTAAAAAAGGCACAAAAACAAGAAGATCACAGGATGTCTTTTGTAAAAACTGCCATATCTCAGAAGTCATCCAGACCTTCTTTTAAGAAAAATAAATCGACAAACTCTACATGTTACATGAAAGTCTATAACTTTTCTCTAGAAGATAACTAGTATCAATTCTAGTTCAAAATAAAACTTGCAAAAAAAAAAAAAACCCTCAATTGCTAGAAACCCATTTGCATATACCACCAAACTACAGCATCAGGAGATCAATGGATTGTTCAGTTTCAAAGATTAAAGTGTGAACATAATTAAGCTCAAATATAAGCAGCAGGTTTTTTGGAGATCCTTTAAAGTGAAAAACAGAAAGAGATCAGAGCGTGCATATATTGTTATTTTACTAAGATGTATAACTACCTTGACAAAAATGATCTGAAGGGATATGATGTGCAATAATTCAATTACCAAAAAAAGGAAGAATATCCTATATTAATTAAGTACAGCAGGAAAAGATTTAAAAAGAAATATATGTTGGGGTGCCTGGGTGGCTCAGTCAGTTCAGTGTCTGACTTGCTTTTGGCTCAGGTCATGATTTCAGGGTTGTGAGATGGAGCCCTGTGTCTGGCTCCACGCCGGACATAGAGTCTGCTTAAGATTCTCTCTCTCCCTCTGCTTCTACCCCTCCCCCCTTCTCTCTCCTTCCCTCTCTCTAAAATATATATATATATATCCTATATTAACATATATTATAAAATGTTATATATATCTTATATATATACATATATATATCACAGAAAAAGTATGTCACAGAAAAAGTATTTGACTTTACACATTGAAAATTTAAAAAAACAAATTTCGTGACTACATAACTAATTGTTTTTTAAAGATTTATTTACTTATTTGAAAGAGAAAGAGAGATCGTGCACGCATGAGCAGGGGCGGGGTGGGGGGGCAGAAGGAGGGAGAGAGAGGGAATCCAAGTAGACTGCCTGCTGAGCCTGCCCTGAGGTCATGACCTGAGCCAAAATCAAGAGTGGGATGCTTAACTGACTGAACCACCCAGGCACCCGTATTTTAATTTGAGGTTTCAGCAATATAGATTTTACTTCCACTACTTTTTTTTTCTTAGTAGATGATAAAAAATAGTCACCTACTCAGGTCATAGCTTCATGTTAGAAAAGTTGGAGATGGGAAAATATGGTGAATAAACATTTTTGCCTCTGTGATTCTGCTCAAAATGTGTTTTGATGCCATAAAGAACAATTCAGGAGGCAATGATTAATGTCCTCATAAACTCATACCTGCTTTAAAGGCTGGGTTAAAAATATGCTTGTCAATATAGAATTTCTTATACATTTCCTTATACAGTTTCAGTTTCATCTATACTAAACCCAAAAGAATTTTAAGAAAGGAATTTTCTTATGGAATGTTATTAATTGAAAATGAACATTTTGTTTTTTTAAAGAAATTAAAATCCTGGAAGAAAACAAAGAATTGGAAAATGCCTTGAAAAATATCCAGCTGCCTAAAGAGGAAATTAAGAAACTTGAAGTGGATGACATTAGTAAGATCTTTTAAAAACTTCTCATTTACAAATATGAAGCTGAACACTTACCTTCCTTTTAAAAAATAAAGTATAGGGTAAATATAGTCCAAACCCTATAATATTAAAGGTCTTAAGTAACACAATCTTACTGTAACAATAGAGTTTCACAAAAGATCTTTAATGTTTGTAAATAGAGGTGATCTTATACTTTGCTGTAGCTCCATTTCAACACTGATATTTTTTTAAAAGGAGTTTATCTAATTTTAATTTTAGAATGTGTGCTTCTAGAAAAACAATAACTCAAGATTGCCAGTAATTTATAAATTTGGCAAAAATATGTAATAAAAATCAACTTAAAATATATTCTTGATTTTTTAGTTTACTAGTTATGAATTAATTTTATGTTATCTTGTTATTAAAGAAAATAAATAATGCTATAAATATAGTGGAATGAAGATTTTTCTTTTTTTTTCCCCCCCAAGCTTTATGGTACAAGATGATTCTTCCTCCTCAATTTGACAGATCAAAGAAGTATCCCTTGCTAATTCAAGTGTATGTAATATTTTCTTTGGTGTAAAAACTATTTACTGAAAATATGTTGAATTAAATACACATTTATGAGATAGAATGAACCATTCTCCTTGGTAACAGTTCCTATTGATGCTGTTTTTATATATTCCTCAACTAATCAGAGTAAATAAAATATGGCTATTTAAAATAGATTGAGGAAGTTTGGGGGTTTTAGATGGACTGGCTTGCATTCGCTGTCTTGAATTTCCTTTGTATGGCAAATTGCCGAATGTGTCAGAATACCTTTGAGATAGAGAAATTGCAGCCAAAAAATATTGTAAATCATCTTAATGTCTTATGTAAGTGAGTTAGAAATGAAATAAGGGAATGGAATACATTTAGTGGAATCACACCCAAAATCAGTGCTGACCTACACACAATTTGCTTAAAACACCATGCATTTTTTTTAGTATATCTTATGCCTGCTTTTAGCAAGTGGCAGGTGGCAGAAATGACGAAAAACCCACACATATTCCTTGAAATGCCAACCCTAGATGTATCCGTTTTGGGGAATAGGAGAGGCTGTGTCCCAAAACAACTTCCTTGTAGCAAACCTCTGGGAAAAGCCTGGTCCTCTCTTGATTTTGAGCCAGTTCTAATGCCACTGTTATTGAAATTTTATCATGCAAATGTACTGGGAAATACTAAAGGCAATTCTTAGCCATGATGTGAAGTTGAGTTTTACCAAGGAATCCAAGATTCTTTCTGTTGTGTTTTGTTTTTTTTTTTTCCCTTTAGGTATGGTGGTCCTTGCAGTCAGAGCGTAAGGTCTGTATTCGCTATTAGTTGGATTTCTTATCTTGCAAGTAAGGAGGGGATAGTCATTGCCTTGGTGGATGGCCGAGGAACAGCCTTCCAAGGTGACAGACTCCTGTATGCAGTATATCGAAAGCTGGGTGTTTATGAAGTTGAGGACCAGATCACAGCTGTCAGGTGAGCTCTTCTCATTCAAACAGAGATTGGTGTGCAACAAAAGTCATGCAATCATTGCTGGGTTTCTCCATCTTTAATGATTTCATTCTTTTTGTCTATTTTCCTCACTTCATTTAAAGTTACCATTAATCTTAAAGAGATATTTTGGCCCAATATGAGAAAAGAATTACCGATGGAAAAGAGCTAATAAATGTGTAGAAACATGATTTATAGTGATAAATAACAAATAACTCTCTTTCAATATTTCAGTCATTCTGATACCCTTTCATTTATTCCCATGGTTCACACACAAAAAATTGTATAACTCTAGGGATGGTCTACAGGCAATCAAACATCTGAATTTGCTCAAGCGTTGTGGATTCTAGCTCATAAATTTAGAAATGCCTCAAGATTTCATCAACACTCTGTCCTTATAGATACTAGGCATTCTTTTGTAATTAAGCTAAATGTGAACTTTGGCTGTGTTAGTATAAAAGTGTTTTCCTGTTTTCATTTGACAAAAAAATTCATTTTATGTAATACAAATTATATAATGAAAACATTCATAGGGAAGACAGACTCATAATCTGAGTTCTTCCCAACTACATTCTCAACCATAATTTGTGTCTCCACCATCTTTTCTGAAACAAAAAGAATATAGTCACCAAAATCGTTGTTTATTTGCAAGTACTCTGCAGGATTCTTCTGGATATTTCTCTACAGTTGTTGGGTTTCTGTTGTTATGTTGTGCATATGTGAAGTTAGAGAACGGTAGTTTATAAATGTAAAAGCTAACACAGGCCAGTTGCACACTTAGTCATGGATGTATATGTGTGTGTAACGGCCTACGTTCAAACACTGTTTCACAGCAAAGAGCAATTTAGAAAATTCATTAGTAAATTCCTTTGATCATCTTAATGTCATTAATAGTTACTGATTTCAATATAACACACACAATGAAGATTGAATTTGACAGCTAGGAGCTAGGCCCAGACAATACTTTTCTGTATTTTTGTCTCTAATAACAGCAAAAGAGTTTAGACTCACAAGTAATTATTTTTAAAAATGGGAAAGTAATCATAACCCATATGTTTTCAAATCTTCCTTCCATTCTGTGAACAGTAATATACACACACTTACATACAATATTCAATTAAAACCAGTCTATTTGAGTAAAATCTGACAAATAAATAAGTAGATTATTAAATAACACTGCACAATCTGTGGCCATTATTCATGCCTAATTTCTAGGAGGCTCCATCTTTCTTGCTGATCCAGATTTTTGGCCTGTCTGCTATTAACCTCTTTAGGAGAATCTTCTGCCTGATGGAGAGAGAGGCATAGAAGAGATAACCCAAAGAAAAATCTACCAAGAGATCAGTTTCTCACAGAAAGACTATGGTGTGCCTTGATGGAAATATGAACACTGCTGTCAGTGTTATAGACCTAATTCTTTTTTTTTTTAAGATTTTATTTGTTTATTTGACAGAGAGAGACACAGCAAGAGAGGAAACACAAGCAGGGGGAGTGGGAGAGGGAGAAGCAGGCTTCCTGCTGAGCAGGGAGCCTGATGCGGGGCTTGATCCCAGGACTCTGGGATCATGACCTGAGCCAAAGGCAGATGCTTAATGACTAAGCCACCCAGGCACCCCTGGACCTAATTCTCTAAGGAATTTTTTTTTTTTTTTTTTTTGGTACTGTGGGTCACATCTATTTGTACTTAAGCCATGCAATAAACACCAAGGGCATGCAACCATGGGACTACATTAAAAGCCAGATGTAGAGGGTGCCTGGGTGGCTCAGTTGTTAAGCGTCTGCCTTCGGCTCAGGTCATGATCTCAGGGTCCTGGGATCAAGTCCCACATCGGGCTCCCTGCTCAGCGGGAAGCCTGCTTCTCCCTCTCCCACTCCCCCTGCTTGTGTTCCTGCTCTCGCTGTGTCTCTCTGTCAAATAAATAAATAAAATCTTTAAAAAAAAAAAAAAAGAAAAGCCAGATGTGGATTACACCTCATTTGTCATTCAACCGGATTTTTCCAAAGTTGGTAGAGCTAAAAAGTGGTTTGTTTTGGCACTGGTCGAAAAACAAACTTATCATCATCATCACATCACAATCTACTGATGACAGCACAATACATCATCATACCTTTGAGTGCACTTATTTACAGCCCAAATTGCAGCATTTGAATTTAAGAATACCTCAAGAAACAGAACAGATAGCTTCTTATCGTGTTTCTTGGATGGAATGAAAATTTAAACCTGAAACCCATGGAGAGGCCTTAACGAAAATTGTTATTTCTGATGTTCAATATATAGGACATGAAGCCACAAATTGTACCAATTTTCACAATAATATAAATGTCTTTGGCATTTAAAATTGAAGATAGACCAGAGGCAGTAGTTGGCTACCTTTACCTTCTCTGAGCCATTTTTAGGATGGAATCTGAAGAAAGTCTTCCTGCTATAGAGCAGGCATATGTTCACTCATTTGCTCAGCCATTGAACAACAACAGATCAAATATTAATATATGCCACTGCAATCCACTCTGTATGAAATTGTGCAACTTACAATTTCTACTTCCAGTGCACTTACAATCCTTGTAAAAGGGTTAACACCCCCACCGCCCACCCCGCAGTCTGAAGGGATGACATTGCTGTTAGATGGAACTTTTAGTAAACAGCCTAGTGAACCAAGGGTGGCTGTGTGGCCCATGCAAAGCATATACACAACAGTGGAGATGCACTGGGGGCTGGCCTTGCTTTGCTTGAAAGCATCATTCTGCAAAAGTGAAAGGGATGCCTTGGAACCCAATGCTTTGAGAAAACAAAAGCTAAAAAGGATAGATTTATAATGATTATCCTGGGAATAATTCAACCACATGTCTGCCAAGAAATGTTTTAGGAATCAGACACTGAATGTCTGACATGGGAATTGGGATTGTAATCCCTTTATGGTCGCCCTCAAATTACCTTCCCACAAAAGAATAAAATGTGTCCCCTTCAATCTCATATAAAATGCAATTTGGCTAAATTTTTTACATACCAAAAGGAAATCATGTGTGCATATTTGGAAATAGCAGTAAATACTACTCAGGATCAATAAATAGATTTAAACAAAGCAAAGCAGGGTTAAAAGAAGAAGAAGAAGAAGAAGAAGAAGAAGAAGAAGAAGAAGCAGCAGCAGCAGCAGCCAGACAACCTCACAACTTTGACTACACAAAAGAGAATGCTTCAAAGGAGATGCTTGTGAGGTCAAAGCGTAAGTGAAACTGGGAACTGTTTTCATCAGGCTTCCCTGCAAATGGTACATAAGTGGGACCCATAAAACTTCGTTAGTTATAGGGTCAGTTCTACTCATTTGGGGTATATTTGGCATTTTTTGACATTCCCACATTTCCCACAATAACTAGAAGGTTGGTGGTGAGAAAATATCATATCATACTGTTATAGATGGTATCAATAAGAACAATTCCAAAACAGAATAATAATTGATCCCTAGGATTCCAAATTGACCTTTGGTCTAGGGCCGTTTTTATGCGAGAGAAGTTGTAAAGTTCAGTCCAGCCTCCAAAATGCTTTTTCATTTGTTACTAACATTTTTCTTTATTTAACCACATTATCAACAGTGTTTCTGATAACCCTTCTGAGAGCGTTTCAGAATTTGGAGGTAAATTTTATGGCGCCTTTTTGGCCTGGAAGTGCTCAGATTATCTAGCTAACCTTTAACCTAGTCCTGCCACATTAAGTGTTAATGTTTCATTTCCATGTTAACTATTGCACTATCATTTCTTGTAAATGTCATCCTTCCAGAATAAAGCGAGGAAGGGAGCTGTTAAGAATTTCCTGCTCCCATGTATCACCTGCTATTTGCTTTTACCCCAGATGCAAGGCAATATGATTGCTAGCTTCTGGGAGATCATAAAATCGAAATTGATTTTATGGCTCAGAACTGTCTTCCAGCGGTAGTGGAAAGATTTTTTTTTCTAACAAAGAAAGTGAACCTTTTTCTCTTTTATTTGGCTTTTGAAGTTAATGGAAGAATTGCTGAAATGCCACAGTTTGCTGCACATTTTCTCTGTTTTACCATGAATAGCATCCACACAGGTAGCAACTTTCCATTTGCTGCTGCATTTCTTCCCCGTAGACTCCTCAGTGTCCCTCAGAATTGGTGTAGGGTAAGCTGTGACTGACGGGGCTTCTTCCCATCTGTTGGTCCCGGGCATTTGCCCAACTCCTCTGTGCATTGGAAACGTGCATGTTGAATCAATGCAACGAGCAAAATGGTTGCTGTGAAATCCCTATAAGAAACTCCATTATTCAACTAATAAAACCATTCCATTTTACTTCCAGAGAAGAGTGAGAAGGGGCATTAACATAACTAAAGGGAACAAAAAAATCGTATTTTTCTGGCTCCCTGTGTGTTACTTTGTTCTCCTCCCCTCCTTCCTGCTACTGTCGCATCCCGGTCTCTGCAATGGCTCATCCCCCTTATTTTTTTTTCTTCCACTGCTTCTGTTTTTCTTAGAATTCCCTGAGTTTTGGGAATCAAACCATTCCCAAAATAAATCACAATTGCTCTAGAACACCAACCCTCAAGGAGGCATGGGATAAATTAGCCTAAAACATTCCTATCTCGTACCAGCTTTGCAAAGTTGCATTTCTGAGGGCTTCCCATGACTTTTTAAAGGTTGCCCTTCAGCATGGTCCCTTGCTCCTAAGAAGATATTTATTTTCAAAATAGTTTTCAAAGGGAGGCCCTTCTATGATGGAACTCAAATTAATAATGTCCATATCCTAAAAGACACGCATAATTATCCATACCATGATAAATTGAGGATACCTAAGTATGAAATGGGAGAGGGATGGATATTATTCCATGGATGCCAAAATGAGGTGCTGATTATCATTAAGATCTAAGCATTTAAAAAGATTGATAAAATTTAAAGCAGCAACAACAAAAATCTTTTTTTCCTCAAATCTGGGGATTTGGAAATTTGGTCCTAGCTGTGGTGCTATGACTTCCTGTGTTACTGTAAGCCTGGGCCTTCACCTCTCTGAGTCCCAAGGAACTCACTCACACAATCAGGATGCTAGACCTGCAGCCCTAGAAGTACTACTCAACAGATGTACAGTAGAGTCTAAAGGATATGTTTTATCCTTTGCAGAAAACACGATAATATTCTTTTAATTATTTGTAAGTGCAGTGTTATTATGCATGTGTTTAAACAAAGAAAATGGAGCATTTCTATTAAATCTTTGGATTAAATATGCTTGTGTAATGAAGTAAATGTCATGTGTACACACTTAAAATTCTAAAAATTTGTTTCTTTTACTTTAGAAAATTCATAGAAATGGGTTTCATTGATGAAAAAAGAATAGCCATATGGGGCTGGGTGAGTTGTTTTATATGTTTTATGCCTGTTATTCAGTTCAGCAATCATAATTTTCTAAAGTGTGTGCTTATAAGGTTTCTCATGAAATGTTAATGTTGCAACATCGTTTAATCTGTCAATGGAAACAGTCAGTTTAGATAATCTAGGCTTAAAAGTGGTGGCTTTAAGTGTTCCTTTTTTCCAATCATTTAGTTTCTTCCTCATATAGCAAACTAACTCATAATTGACACATTTTTACTTATTTTTTTTGTGTTATAGTATACTGCACTGAACTATATTCATCAGAGGTGTAATTTCTTTTGTTATTTTAGAGTTAATATATATCTTTTCTATTTCATCATTTCATTTTTATGAAAAGCTAAGCTAACGTTTGAAATCACAGGAACTTTTAAAATATAAATTCCCTAGTACCTAGCCTATCCCAGGCATACCTTGGCTGTTTTGATTCCTTTTTTTTTCTTTTTTTTTGTAAACAAATTATTTTACCAGGACTAATATTAATTTGTGCCAATGGGAAAGAAGTATAATTTAGTTTCTGAGTTATAGGTCATGGAGATAATTGCCCGTATTTGAGGAGTTATGCAGTTTTTCAAAATACACATAAAAAGGAAGTGGCAAAACTTCCCAATCATGGGCAATGAAGTCACTGGAAAGTTTAGAGAAATATTGGAAAGAGTTTAGATTTGCCCATTATAAATTATGATAATTACCCTTCAAAGAAGATTTCCTGTTTCACTTTTTGGTCTGAATTTGTACATTTGCAAGTCAATTTGCAGCCGTTTGTGCTTGGGTTGTTTTTCTTGGCTGTTTTCTCTGAGAGCGGCCTGCACAAGATGGAGGGAATGAAACCCAATATTGAAGGGAGTCTGCAGGCTCCGGCTCAGCTCTCAGCTCAGTGACCAGATGAAGAGCTGTTACGAATTTGTGGAAAGTTGTTACTTCAAGCCATTTGGTCCTTCTTAAAACTATCAAATGTTAAATATCTAAACAGAATGGAATTCAAATGGGTGGAAATAAATGAAATATTTTTATAGTGAAATATTTCAGATAAGATCTCTTCTACCATCCATTTTTATGAAATTTCCTAAAGTAAATTTTTGAAAGATTCAGATTTCATGCTGAACACTTACATATAATTATTAACATTTCTCTTACAGTTTTACTTTGCTTTTATTTCAGGCTTTGAAATAACCATAAAGTGGAACTTTTAATTTCATTTCTAGAACATCCTGATATTAGTTCGGTAGAGAATCATTTATGTGGGATGATTTAAAGAACCCACTCAGCACCCCAAAATACATCCGTATCAGTCTGAAATTCTTCAATTAGAGATTCTCACCATGTCTATGCAAATGCTTCTAGGAGACGGAGTATATTATGTCCCCTTTATTGCTTACTTTCCAACAAGGCAGTGATTGTGAGGTAAATCCTGAGAGCATGCGCAGAAGAAGGAATAAGTGAACTGCCAATGGATGCAACATTTGACCAGCCCCTAAATCAGCAGGACCCAGAAGATCCCGAGGGGAAAAGACCTTAATACTATACTGGTCTTTTTTTTTCATCAATTCTTTATGATTTATTTAATCCATCCATCTGATCACTGACTCATGCATTCTTACACCAGTGTAGTAAATTTTTATTGAATCTCAACTAGGTCTTATATTAGGTTCTTTGGAAGATGAAAAGATGAGTAAGTTATAGCTCTGGCCCTCTATTAGATAAAACAGCAAAAAAGCAATTGCTCAGCAATGTTCCAAGTGTTAAGACAGATACAATTTGTGGTGGAAAACACCAGGGAGCAGAATAGTTAATCCTGGCTGTGAGAGCTAAGGGGAGATTCAGAAATGAGGTAGTGAAGATAGGTCAATAATGGTGCATTCCAGTGAATGAAGACAGCCTTGACAGGGTCCTGAGGTAACAATGAGTAGGGTGTGGTTGGTCTGGATGCTGGAAACTTCAGACGCATAAGGCATGTAGTGAGGAAGGTGAAGGAAAGGAATTTGGGTAGGGAGTCAGCCAGCTTAACAGGAGGCCTTTTAGACTGCATACAGGAAAATAGGCTCTATCTGTAGATCTGCGACACATTTCTCTTATTTTTCTATGTCTCCATGATCATTACACTCCATTTATTCTTTATTTTTGTATTTATTTATTTTTAAAATTTTCCATTCATTCTTTAAATGTCAATGTTTTTCAGGGTCTGGCCATGGCTCTCATTGTTTTTCACTTCCTTGGGAAAACCCGTGTAATTTCAAAGATGGTGCTGACTCTCAGATCCCTGTCACTAGCCCCCATCTCTCTTCTGAGCTCCATGTTCCAAATGCTCACTGACCATCTATCCCAAATGTCTGACTGGAGCCTTAAGCCTAACCTACACAAGCTAAACTTGTTATAGTCTACTTAAAACAAGTCCTCATCTTTATTAAAGGGCCTCACCACACACCCAGTCACCCAAGTTAGTAAATTCAGAGCGATTTTCAACTTCTCTTGTTCCCTGACTCCAACATGCCATTGGTTAGTAAGTTCTGTCAATTCTACCTTCAAACATCTAAATCTGTTCTCATCATCCCCACTGCCAGTGCCTTAGTTCAAGTTTCTTCATATGTAATTTAGATCAGACCTTCTCAAAATTTAGCTTACATAAGCATCACCTGGAGAACTTGTTGAAACAGTTTCCAGGACCCTACCACTAGAGATTCTGATTCAGTAGTCCAGGGTGAGCCCCAAGGATTTGCATTTCTGACAAGATCCCAGGTAATGCTGATTCTTTTGGTCCATGGACCATTGGGTGGTACCGGTTTAACTATTACAGTTGCCTCTAGTTGTTTAACTATTACAGTTGCCTCTTAACTAGCCTTCCTGCTTTGACCTCACAAGCTGCAATGTTGCTAATGAAGTTGCTATTCCAAAACACAATTCCTCCCATGATGCTTTTCTGCTTATAAGCTTATATATTCTCTAAGGCCACATATTGACCTTGACCTGGTGCCCAAACTTATTTCCTTGCATGCAAAGCCCTTGACAATCTGGCTGTAACCTGCTTTTCTGGCCTCATCTCTTTCCACTTTTCCCCCACGCTTTATGAATAATTTCACTTTTCCCTGCAACCTGAAATGTGTCCATCTTCTCCCATTCTGCTCCTCTTCTTCCAAAATGGAAAACTCCTACTTACTCTTTAAAACCCAACTCAGATATGACTTTCTTTGTTCTCCAGTAGTTCTTTATACTGCTCTTCTAGGAATTATCACATGTTATTTTGTCTATCTATTGATTTCTCCCATGAGAATGTAAGCTCATTGAGGGAATGGACTTTGCATTTTTTTAAATTATTTTTCTCAAATGTTTAGCATAATACTTGGCCATACCATACACCAATGATGTTATTTAAACTAAATTTAATCCTATAAGTCAGTGTTCCCCCAAATGTATCTTATTAATACTAAGGACTTTTTCAGGAAAAGGTCCGCTGGGTTTAATAATTCGGTAAATCATGAATTCTACATAACAGTGTATATCGGCTTGGTGAAAGGACAGTAAAGAATCCTGTTAAATTCTGATTAATATAGTATTACCAAAAGGTATTTGATTCCATGGATCCTTTTTTGAAACATGCTCTTGAAGTCAATAGGGAATAGAATTGGTGTCTTAGAAAGATGCTCTTGGCCACAGGGCAAAGGATGGTCTGAGGTGGGGGAGGGAGTGGGCCAAGGATCTAGGGAGCAGTAATATTGGCCACAAATACCAAGGGCCTGAATTCAGACAGTGAAGTAGGAGGTGGGAAGAGGTCAGAGCTTCAAGTGTTGTTTTCTAGTATAATAAACAGGGACCTGTGGAAAACTGGAGATGCGGAAGAGGAAGATATTGAGAATGACCGTGAGCGTTACTTAGCCATTATTGTGTCTCATATCAAGGAAGAAAGTATTTGTTTCCATGAAGCGTTAGGCAGGTTAGCAGTCTGAGACATATGCTAAAGCTGACCCCATACATTTTTGGTAGTCAGTTGGCAAATAAGCTGCAAATCTTATGTTTGCTTCTATAATCCTGATTAAGAAGGGGAAAGGAAGCATTTTTATCTTACCCTTTTGTATTTCTGGCTCACACAAACCAAAATCCAGTAGCTCTGTTCTTGGCTGTTTATTAGATATCCACTAATCCCCCAGGACCATGCCTAGGATGTGTCTGCTATACCCGGTTCTTCACCAGGCCATCTTGCACCTCAGGGGACATTTTGCAATGTCTGGAGTCATTTGTGGTTGTCACAACTGGGGGAGTGCTACTGGCAGCTAGTGAGTCGAGGCCAGAGATGCTGTTAAATATCCCACAATGCACAGGACAGGTCCCCACAAAAAAGAATTACCCAGCCCAAAATGTCAACCATGCTGAGGTTGCAAAACCCTGGTTGATGTGAAGAAAAATTGGAGTAATTATTCTGACAATTGAAGAGCAGCAGGGGTTTTGCCTAAATTATTAGAATAACAACCTCATTCGTGGGCCTTGCTTTGTTAATATAGGCCTAGCCAGGTGGTGTTGAATAAGCATTAGTTCATGATTTAATCTTAGTTCCTTTCTCTTCCAGTGACTAATTATAAGCAATTTGAATTGCTATGTGCGATCAACGATGTAAAAGTAGGACAAATGCACCTCTAATGAGACTACATTAGACTCCAAACTTAAAGTTCCCCAACGAGGTTTGCCCCAGTGCAAGGACAGAGAGGAAAGTCATGGGTTGTAGAGGCAAGTGTCCTGGCTTTGAGTCCCAGCTCTGCTGCTTCCTGACTCCCAGAGCCCTCTAAGTTCCCTCCAACCACGGCTTCCTCGTCGTGAAAGGCAGCCGTGATTTCCTCACCGGGGCCCCGTGAGGATGAGCTGAGTTAACAGGAAAGTGATATATTTGACAAATATTGAATCTTTTTTGGTAAAATTTTATTTATTCATTTGACAGAGAAAGAGACAGCCAGAGAGGGAACACAAGCAGGGGGGGTGGGAGAGGGAGAAGCAGGCTTCCCGCGGAGCAGGGAGCCCGATGCGGGGCTCGATCCCAGGACCCTGGGACCATGACCTGAGCCGAAGGCAGACGCTTAACGACTGAGCCACCCAGGCGCCCCGAAAAATATTGATTCTATATCCCTCTGTGTTCTACGCCATGTTGTCAGTGCTGGGGGTACATTCATTAACCAGGCAGATGAAAATGTCTACCTTTATGGAGTTGGGAACAGTTGGAAAGGAAGACAATAAGCAGGACAAATAAGTACAATGAACAGGATTTTAAACGATGACGAGTGCTCTGGTGAAAAACAAAACACAACAAGAAAGGAGCATGATGTAGGGTTGGTGCATCGTAGATGAGAAGGACAGGTGCGACTCTCTCCGGGTTAAGACTTGAAATGGGGAGGAAGCGAGCCATGGCCCTATCCCGGGGAAAGAGGGTTCTAGGCGGAAGGCCGCAGCATTTGTGAAAGTTCTGGGGCTAGATCATGCCTGGAGAGTCCAGAGAACTTCAGGAGAGCCGACAAGCAGGGGAACATCTGAGGAGGGAGAAGGGAAACAGAGCATGTGGGTCCTCCAAGAAGGTTGCAAGAGCCTTGGCCGTACAAACGTTAGCTATTCATTATTATTGCCTGTAGGTAAATGTTCCAGTGTGCATAATGGCTCACATAAGAGCATTCTATAAACCCCTCAAAATTCTGTGCCCTTCTAAGAATGTTTTTAAAGATATCTTTCATTTCAACAAAATGGCAAGGCATCTAAGTGCAAAGGACAAAATTCTAGAATTCTCATGGCCAATCTGCTCCGTGGGTTCCTTTCTTGCGACAGCCACCCACTCTGCCTTGGAGCCCCACCCATGGGAGAGCAGAAAAAAGTCAACGCGGGTTTATTTTATTTCCTCTTCATTTCTACAATAGGAATCGCTTTTCTAAGCCGCCTGAGAATTTAAAGAACACCTACTTTTGTTGTGCTGTTGCTACACTAGTTTTGCCCTTACAAATTCCTAGAGACAATTCGTATTCATCCTGGAAACATGGAAATTGTATTTAGGTATAGCACTACTCTCTAATCACTGAGTAGATACAGGTTAATAATTTGTAAGATTTCGAACAGAAGTGCTGAAAACCCTTTTTACTATGTGTAAGTGCTTTCCATTTCAAATCTCACTTCATGCTATTTCAGCGGGACCCACCATTGTTACTGGTAGGGAACACCCTTTTCCAATACAACCACAAACAATAATATTTCCAACTCAGGCTTACTTTCCTCTCAGTTGAACCTAAAAGAAAGAAGGAGAGGACTTCCATTTCAGTAATAGTCGTTGCTAACCTACAAATCAAAGCAAATCATTTTTATAAGTGAAAATTTTCACTTACCAAAATGATTTTCAAACCCACTGTTCCTTCCGTTTTTAAAATATATTTTCCCCTATTAGAACATGTGTTAGGTCTTCTCTAAGTATAATAAAAGGAGGGCATGATATAATTGGAGCTGCTTCTTCTATTCTGTGTTTTGTCACCAAGGGTCCTCAATAAAATTCCCCAGAACCGGAAACATACAACTGTACGCTAGTTAAAAAATTCTTCCTTTACCTCGTGAACTCAGCAAGATTGTTTAGCTTATCCCCCCATTCCATGTATTTCGTGGGTTAAGAATAGACCCCTCCCACTGATATGCCCTCATTAGCATGTCTGTCTTCTGTCTGCCTATCTGTCTCTCACTCTGTGGACTCTCCCTCTCACTCTTTCACCCTCTCTGAAGACTGACTTTTCTGTGGCAAATGGTGATATGATCTCTGCTGACCTAAGGGAAAATGGCTCCCAGAGGTTTGTAGTAATAAGGTCCTAAACACAAGGCACATTCCTAGTTGGAAAGTCCCACTGTCCTCTGGTGACTTGTGGGGAACGTTCCTGTGTTGGGGCGAGAATATGTACTGAGAATCACTTCCTGATCTAGCACACACATTTTGGGGGTTCAGGACCCAGAGCACTGTTTAGTCCACATTCCCAGGAGAAGCCTCTCTCTCAAGCATGTTTCCACAGCCCAAATTTCACTTCCAGGGGGAGATGCCACCTTATTGTGTTCATTTCTTCACTTTTAGGACAAGGTTCAAATTTCCAAGTGACATGGGCAGACAGCTCCTGTTATCAGGGTCACATTTCTGAATCATCTCCCTGATTCCTTGGGGAAGAAAATTGATGAGAGCTAACCCTACTCCTGACTCCTTTTGTACTTCTTTGTTTTTCCATTCAATTTGTGGGAGGCTATGTAAGACTTTTAAAGACACCAGTGGCTTTTCCTCCTTTGAGCTGCTATGCCAGAAATCCTCAGAACAGAATATGTAACACTACATTATACACAAACTCTGGCCATGTCCTCAACTATCCAAAAGGTTCTTATGTCTTACCCTTGTTGTTCTATTATGAAAACCAATAAGTAAATACACAGATGTGAGTTTTGTCTTACTGGACTTTTGCAGACTGTGGGAAGTATCCCGCTTTTACATTTGGGAAATAATCTCCTTTCTTTGTGCATTTCTTTCAACTAAAATCCTGGTTTTGCTCTGGCAAGGTCCTCAAGTAAAATCCTGGTTTTGCTCTGGCAAGGTCCTCATTGGAAAAATAGAGAGGAAAAAAAATTTGGGCAGAAAAGTTGCAATTATAAATATCTCTTCAACTGCCCCTACCATGCTCCAATCAGCACACCAAGTATTTTTAGTTTACTGGGGGTGAAATGATGCTGTGTCAGGTGGAGCTTACTGCCAAGGGTGCAAGATAGACATTTAATCTGCCCCATGCATATCCCCAGCTCCCATCAGTACTTATGGTGAGCAGAGTTGCTGTAAAACGATGTTGGAGACTTTCTGAAAGCAAATCTGGGACTGACTTGTAATGATGTCTCCACAGTCCTACGGAGGCTATGTTTCATCCCTGGCCCTTGCTTCAGGAACCGGTCTTTTCAAATGTGGGATAGCAGTGGCTCCTGTCTCCAGCTGGGAATATTACGGTATGGAAACATTTCAAAACTGTGGCTGCGAAAACATTTAACACATAATTACTCTATATTTGAGGTTGCTAGGAAAACAAATTATACAGTAAAATTCACCCCAGCTTCACTGGGGAAAGCATAATCTAGAAGCGAGGTGGTTTATATGATGCATTGTAATCATGTTGCAACAATCAAAGAAATCTTAAGAGTGAGGGAGGACTCTTCCAAAACCCAATGTGTGTGATCCTTTCCCCGAAACCTGGTGCCTCCTGATACACCAAATCTTTAAAACCAGAGCCGAGACTGTGTTTTTGCAGGCACACGGGTGGCCTGTAAATACATCTTACACAAAGTCGGGCGGCGCCAAGCTATTCACCTCCAAGTCACAGTTTGCAGCCGCCAGGTCCATTGCTCCAGAAACCAGAGCCACAGAAAAATTTGTTAAGAAGTACACCTCCCGTGGGTGCCTATTTTTATGATACACATTAATGCAGGATGATTATTTGGAATTAACTCTAATAATTGCACAGAAATTAGCCTTCATCAGATCCTCGTCCCTGTGTTAGGGTAGAAATGAGACAACTATAACTCTCAGGCAATCTTTATTCAGAAAAAAAATGTGTGTGTGTGTGTGTGTGTGTGTGTGTGTGTGTGTGTGTGTGTGTGTGTTGGGAGACGAGGATCAGGGGCACATAGTTCCATCCCAGATTAATTAAGACACCAATAAAAGTACAAGAGGTGGCTGCATTTGTGATTTTTTTTTAAATACAATGAAGTCATTCCATAAGGTCTTCCCTAGCTAAACATTTCCCCCACCAAAGGGTGGAAGAGAAAAAGCTTAAGATCAGTCCTTTCTAATGTTAGCTGTGCCTGTCTCCTCCTTTGCTTCTCTAGCCCTGTTGAGGCAAATCGCAGAGCAAATGACTTGGGTGGAGCATTACAGTAAAGGCAAGCAGGAACGTTCCTCAGCAGCTCCACGGGGGAAGGGGACGAGCAGTTCTCAAACTGGGGAGTCTTGTTGGTTAATGGAATGACCCATATCACATGTAAACAACATATTCTCATATATTTTATAGCATCTATCTACACAGAGCGCTTCATGGGCCTCCCAACAAAGAACGATAACCTCAAGCACTATAAAGTAAGCGTTTTCTGTTTCATTTAGGTCATTGACTTCTTGCAAACACGCTAAATAATTTTGAAGCAGTCATTCAGAGTTTATACTTTTGCTGGCTCCCCAAGTAAATACGCTGATCTTTTGTTAGCTGCAAAACACCTCACTAGGAAGACATTTACTCTCTTAGGATTCTCTTCTTTCTTTCCTAATCCTCCCTTCCCTCACCTCCCTTTTCCCCATCCTCCGGCCCACCCCCAACCCCTACACAGCTTGAGCGGGCATCATTTATGCCTAAGGTCTCACTCATATGTAACATATGACACATAAACTTCCCGTTTTTCAAACGAAGAATCAGATGGAAGTAATGCAAATGATGATGAAAATGTGTTGCTCTGACTCTTAAATATTTATCAACCAAAGCAATACATAATTTCAGTATTGGTGCTAAGTCCATCGCACAATGATTTAGCTAGTTTTCTATTAGAACTTGCAGCAACTAAAATGTTAATTTTTCCTCTTTTCCAGAATTCAACTGTGATGGCAAGAGCAGAATATTTCAGAAATGTAGACTATCTTCTCATCCACGGAACAGCAGATGGTGAGGTTTAAGCAAGACTCTTACACATAAAAATACTGAGCCAACATCACTTTGTTTAAGAAACATTAAGCATCCTCCTATGCCTGTGCTCAGGGTCAGTACCTAAGAGTCAGGGACATTTCCACAAATGAGTGCGATGACTCACTGCTGACAATGTCAACCGCATGACTAGATAATTGTCGGTGTTCATTTGCAGGCAGTACATTGTCACTCGATGCTTTCTGGTATTTAGCAGCACTTTAACTCTCTCTCTTTGTTGCAGATAATGTGCACTTTCAAAACTCAGCACAGATTGCTAAAGCTCTGGTTAATGCACAAGTGGATTTCCAGGCAATGGTACATAATTTCGTTTTACTCCTGTTCACGGCCTTAGACCTGTAAGCTCAAAGGAGGAATCTGGTTTTTTCATTATTATTTTTTTTATTATTTATTTTTTTTTTTTACAAAAACCTGGCAAACAGGCTGTAGGGTAGAGTAGGCAGAACATTAGCAAGTAGGTCTTGGATCTTTCATGAACTCCCTGAAGGACACGAGGCGAGCCATGTCACCTCTGGGGATCCTGGTTGAGTTCTATCTGAAATAAAGGCATTCATGAGACTGATGATCTTCTAGCTCGAACATCCAATAGTTCTGTGATCCTGCTTATATAATGTAGCTGCATGCTTAGCGTCCCCACAAAAGCTGGGAGTCCCAAAGCAGCTAAAAGCTCCCGTGTATTCAGTAAGGAGCGATGGGGGAATGTTATCAGCGGCCACAGAGGCTCCCTGAAGTCGGGCGGCCCCACTCAGAGTTAGAGAACCCTTTCATCCGTGTGTTCTCAGTGCCTGACACAAGCCTGGCCCAGCACAGAAGCTGGAGTGTTCCCCAAGCGAATGAATGAATGAGCTAGCCAGAGAGTCCAGGTGGGTGGCACAAGGACTTGGAAGTGACAGCAGAAAGAAAAGGAAGGTGAAAACCACGACAAGAGGGACAACCCCTGACAGCAGTTTCCCCTCCTCAGGGAGCAGAAGTTTTCCCTCACTTGCTTTTCCTGAATGAGAACCTCGAAAAGGAAACCCCCATTTTTGGAAATTGGGCTTTTTAAAATAATTTGCAAAAGGGGATGGGAGATTTTTCTGATCTTTTTTTATCGTGACCCCCTCCAACGTAAATTCACCTTCTAAGTGTATAGCATTCCAGCATGACCACTATCCACCTTTATTCAGTGAAAACAAGAATCTCGCCAGCATTTCTCCAAGAATGGAGTTTAAATGTATAATGTCATCTTCCTGGGTGACTTTAATGATACTATGTTTAACTCCTATGAAAGGTGTTTACAGTTATATGTGTTGTGGATTTTCTGCAGCAGAGAGGAATTGGATTTCAGAGGCTACAAGCCTCATAGAATTTTTGAGCTAGCAGGAGCCTTAGAGAAAATCAAATCCAACCTCCTCATTTTTTCAAATGAGGAAACCAAGCTCCAGAGGAGCAAAGTAATAGACCCAGCACACCAGCTCTGGAGCACGTACCTGCCTCCTGACACCGCCCCCCCGCCCCAGGATGCTAGCCATTGTGAAAGCTCAGCCACCAAGATCTAAAATATAAGCTTAAAAAAATAAATAAATAAAAATAAAAAAATAAAATAAAATATAAGCTTAAAGAATGGGAAAGAATAGTCCAGGTTAATAAAAGGCCTTTTTTGTCTTCCTGTTCTAAATGTCTGCATGTGAGCTATCTTATTAAGTGCTCTGAAGTAGAATTTCAATCACAATATTAGCAAAATTGTCGGGACCTGCGAGCATTACAAAGTCTAAGCTGGGTGCCTTGTGCGGCTGTGAGAGTGACTCCGGCGTCTGCTCTCTGCTTTGCAGTGGTACTCGGACCAGAACCATGGCATATCCGGCCTGTCCACGAAGCACCTGTACACCCACATGACCCACTTCCTAAAGCAGTGTTTTTCTTTGTCCGACTAAAAAGGACGCAGACGCAAGCTTGTATCACAGTGGGAACACTTCGTATAAATGCCTCAGACCATTTGCTTGTTTTACTCTTTATGCTGTTAAATGCTGGTACAAACAAACAAATGAATGATGTTCTAAAGGCTGGCGGAAGATTGACTCAGAAGTTCAACCCAAATATTGTTTACATTTTCTGTCACTCTCTGAAAGAAAAGGGAACCGTGCCTTTTGCTTTGGACACAGACAGTGTTTTATTACCTGTTCATTTGAGGAAAATAATAAAATCAGAAGTTAAAGTGCTGTTATTTTGTCTGTGTGCATTTATTTCAACTTCCGGTTTTATCACAGAAAATAAAAGCTTGTGCTAGGCAAGCACATGAGTCACGTTAGGTGGGGATGGAGGAGAAGAATCTAGAAGAGTTCGAATTTTTGTAATTAGGATTCCAAATGCTGGAATGAATAGCTCAGAGTACGCAAAAGCATTGTTCAAAAATCAAGTTCGAGATGCATTTCGTAGAGGCGTCCTGATGTTTGCACTCTATGCTGGACCTCCAAGAAATGTTTATGAAATTTCTCCCAGATTTCTTCAATGTAGCCAAAAACATTCAACAAGGATAAAATCAGAATTTTGAATTCAGGCTCCTTTTAATAAATGCTTCAAATTTAGAAACATTCCTATTTTGTATCTCTTTCAAGAATTAGCAATGGTAACTGCCTTCAGCTTGCTAAGCCACACCAAACTAAGCAAGCAAAACAATCAAATAAAAAGGACATCCACAGCTAGAAAGGAAAAATGTTGTATCTATGAGATTTTTCTGGGGTTTGAGTTTGACATCACTGAGCTCATTTTGAAAAAGAAAAAAAAAAGCCATAATGCTTGCAACCCCGAAGGTGACACTCTGACAGTAAGGGTCCCCATCAGTTAGAAACTTATGGGCAGCTTCCATCTCTGTAACTGCCACAGAATTAAAAAGACCCACGTCACCAGAAGATATTTCTTAAATGAATGTTGGAAGTATCCATGAAGCCTCTCCCTAGGGAACTTTTCATTGATGTGTTTCCTGGCCCCAGGTGGCTCTGGACGATTTCTTCCCATCCCTAGCCTGATCCTTCCTAGTTGCAGCTAGAAGACCCTCGTGCCTTCTCTCATGCTCTACAGCCAGAAGAACCCATCCAGGCATGCAGTGTTATAGCAGGAAGGGGCCTCTAAGATCAGAGACCACAGCCTCCTCGAGAATTGTCAGACATTTCTCTGTCCAATGCTCTCTCCACTACCGCTTTCTGAACTCATGCCTCCCACTCACGCCACATGGCCCCACTGCACCTGTCAAGAAGGGGTGCTCTGTCAGGAAGTTTGGGCAGCACCCACACAGATTCAGGGCTGGCCATAGCACCTCCTCCCCACATCTATGCAACTGCCGATGTCCTGCGGGGCAGAGAGAAGCTATTCCTTTCCCATTTTGTTTTGCCTGGAGCAGCCTCAGAAGCAAGTCCAGAAGATGTCCTCATAATATTCTCATCCACTCTCTCCAGCTGGGGAGAGGAGAATGAGCAACAGTTCTTTCTTAATCCTCTATCAAGGGGTACAGCAGGGCAAGTGCAAATAATAAGAAAACCTTGTTCCTTCAACGTCTTTTCTGCCTTTGTAGAATTCTGCAAAGCTGTTGTTTAATATCAACATGCAATAAGAGGTCTCCAGCCTCACGCCTCTGGTTCCCACTGCTGCAGAGGTGACTTCTAAAAGACAAATCGAAATGTTCCCTTATTCCAGGTGAAAACCTCCAGTCTTCTCCACGGTCTACAAAATAATATTGTCGATGTTAGATGTAGAACATTCCCATCATCACAGACAGTGCTCCTGGATGGCTCTGTCCTAACAATCTTCACAGACCATATCTTGGAACATGGCATATGGTAGAAGCTCAGCGATTGATAAATGAGTGAATGTATCTGTGTTTGTGGAAGATTCATTTTTCTACATTACTGTTGCTAAAGCCTCCCCTGACCTCCTGAGGCAGAGTCATCCAGGTGCTCCTCAGACATTCAGCATGTGTTTATGTATTTATTCGTTCATTCAACGAGTATTTGTTGAGTCTGTCTGTATAGCAGACACTGTGCAAGACTTTAAGGATACAGTGAAGAGCAAGGCAGCAACTTGAGAGGCAGTTTTGGTTTTTTTTTTTTTTAATGTTTGCATTTTGTATCGCTTTACTAGATTCTTCTTTTGGCGTGGAGGATAAAAGATACATAAATTACAAAAGGGAAATATTTAATAGAAAAATGCCAAACCAAAAGGGATGACTAAAAACATCTGACCTTTTCTATTTGTAGGAAGCATATTGTAACAATAACTATCCTTTAACTGCATTTTATTCTTGCATATGAGATTTGGGGAGGAGGGTGTCCCAGCACCCTAATTAATCATGCTTCATTTATCACAAACTTGAGATTTTCATTTGTCCATTGGACAAATGTAAGCCACTGTTTTAGGTACTGGAGGTGACTTTCCACCTCCCCAAAATGCATGTATATTAAACAAAATACATATCTACAGGCAAAACTTGAAGTCTTGCATAGGTGAAAAATGAATGTAACTACAATGCAAATTCAAATGACACCAGTCATATAGGGGTGGGATTCTAATATGGGTAAGAGGGAAACCGTGAAAAATGTTATCATCTCAAAATAATCTCCAATGTTAGTCCTGTAATGCTAACCTTGGAGCTATTTTAAGTGGTTTCAAAATTCTAAGTGACCATCTCCTATATCCTAACGTGAATAAGAAAGAAGTAGTAAGAAAATGGGTATTTTGTGAAATTTAACATAAATGAAGGAACTTGTATTGAGGCTTTAAAAAAAAATTTAAGTCTGCCCCAAAGCCTAAAATGTATGAATTATTTCCTTCAAGAAACATTTTCTGAATACCTATACTGCGCCTGGCAGTACTCTGGGTCCTGCGGGAGACAAGAGTCTTACAAAGATGAATGTATGTACAATTTCTCCATTTCTAGACTGTTTCAGTAAAGGCGACTTAACGAATCTGATTTTCCCAACATTTGAGCATTTTTCAGAAACTGACAGATCTTTATGCAAATGTTGTTGCCAAGCTGTTTGTAATGGTGAAATTATACTTTGACAGTAACTCTTTAAAATATATTAAACCCAGCTAAGGTTTTTTTGGAAATGTTGCCAATTAAGTGACTTTAATGAGCTTCTTGATGGTAATGTAATTAAAATTCAGATGTTCTAATTGTAAAAAAAAAAAATTACAGTTCTGGGAAAGTTAACAGTAAAATAAGCAAATGTAAAATGAATTAGGACTAATTTAAATGGTGATTATGTGGTCTTCTGAGAAGATTTTACCAAAACAATGTTTTCAATTATGCTATTTGTAAAGAAGAAAGAAGACACCTAACAGATATTTTAAATTTATCCAATAAAGCAGATATTTTGAGTTTATCCAATAAAACAGATTTAAAAATTCTGAACTTGGTGAATCATTCTCAGCTTGTGAGAGAACTGCTAAAACAACTCCCTTGGCATTATGGACAGGTACCTTGGCAATTTGAAGTGGAATGATTTCTAACTCAGGGAAACATAAGTGCTTGGACCTTACCAGGCTATTCATGGGGAAAACGATCTGGCTTCTAGCAAAATCTCTAATGACCACCTGCTCAGAATAGTGGCATGTAATACTAACATGCCGGTCATAAACTCTTCTTTTTGACACACAGGTAATATCTTTGGCAGGCTAGCACAGTATAATTTCACTCTCTTGGCCTCTAATTAATATTCCATTACTTACTCGACTTATTTAAAAAAAATCACTTTGACAGAATGTGTTTTAACAAATATTTGTTGGTACAGCATTAGATCGCTCACACTGTGGTTATACAGAATCTATATCCTGTGAATAAGAGAGAGCAAAAATGAACCAAAGGGCATGACGCCATGGTTTGACAACTCATCTCCCTTCTTTCTTAAGTACTGTCCATTGGCAAGCAAAAACAGGAGCATCTTTGCCAGCCATTAATTATTGGGGGCAGGAATTTTTCTCACTGTTCCAGGGGCTGAAGTTTTGAGATATATGTCTTTTTTTTTTTAGATTTTATTTATTTATTTGAGAGAGAGAGAATGAGAGATAGAGAGCACGAGAGGGAAGAGGGTCAGAGGGAGAAGCAGACTCCCCGCCGAGCAGGGAGCCCGATGCAGGACTCGATCCCGGGACTCCAGGATCATGACCTGAGCCGAAGGCAGTCACCCAACCAACTGAGCCACCCAGGCACCCCCGAGACATATGTCTTAATGAAACATTTAAGATGGTAGAAAAATCATTCATATGTTAAGAACTACCATCCATTCACACATATTGTTTGTTATTGAGACATCCTTTCCAATATTCATGGACATAATAGAAATATTAAAGATGTCATAAAATGTGTTTATATCACACCAGCACTAAGCTGAATTTCTGGCTTTGAGAAATGATAAAAAGTAATGATGCTTTAATATATACAAGCATGTTGTATAAACAAAAGAAACAATGCTACTGTCTGAAGACTGAAGTAATATTTTGCAATATTACAAATTCCTTCCTATCGAATAAAAGACAAGATAGTTCATAGGTCAATTCTTTTAAATATAATATGTTCATTGTTACTCATTTTGGGAGATAGTGGGCTTTGATAGGTAAGGGCACAGATCCAAAAGTACACTCCTTGGTTTGAATCCCAACTCAGGAACATATTAGCTGTGTAATGTTGCTCAGCCATTATAAGTTCTTCCTGCTTGAGCTTCCTTATATATGAAGCTGAGGATAATAATAATAGGCCCTATCCCATAGGGTTGTTTGGAGTTCTAAATTAGTTGCTATTCATAGAGCTAACAGTGTCTGACATATAGTAAGCATTTTCTTAAGAGTTTGCTAGATACATAAGGTAAACCCCTTTTTGGCATTTTTATTCATTTTCAAGGAATTAATAGTCTGATGTTTATTGCAGCATTATTGATAATAGCCAAATTATAGAAGCAGCCCAAGTATTCACTGATAAATAAATGGATAAAGAAGATGTGGTATGTGTAATGGAATATTACTCATCCATAAAAGAAGAATGAAATTTTGCCATTTGCAACAACATGGATGGATCTAAAGGGGATAGTCCTAAGTGAAGTAAGTCAGTCGGAGAAAGACAAATACCATATGATTTCACTCATATGTGGAATTTAAGAAACAAAACAAAGGAATAAAGGAAAAAGAGATGAACCAAAAAACAGACTCTTAACTATAGAGAACACACTG